AGGAGGGAGGGGGAAACCCGTGGGTCTTTTTCCTCCCCCCCTCCGCCCTCGCCTCCACCTCCTCCTCCTCCTTCTCCTTCACGAGCTTGTGTCACTGCCTCTGACGACAGCATCCTCCTCCGCATCCTGTCGCCATGGCAACCCTTTGTTTCCTCCAACGCTTGAGTGGTCCAGGCGGGGGGGCCGGGGCTGGCCGTCGTGGTATATAGGCATCGCTGGGGCGGGGGAGCTTGGAAGGGAACTCCAGATTTCCCCACCCAGAAAGGAAAGAGCTGGGCGAGGACCACAGAATATATGTACGCCAGTCTATTTATTATTGTAGATTATATATGCACATAATAAAAAGAGGGCCATTTGGAAGCGGAGGAAGAAGACGAAGGAAGCAAGGATTAAGGGTTTCCAGGCGGATCCAGACCTTTTCTCACGCTCAGCCTTCTTCCCCAAAGGCGTGGTGGGCCCCGGGGGCTTCCTTTACTGGCAAGAGTTTTGAGAACTGTCCTGAGAGCCTCCATTGAAAGACAGCAGCACCTGGTAATTTGATTTTTTTAAAAATAGTTCTAAATGTGTATATATGTACTTGGATTTTACCAAACTCCGGGAGGCAGTGGAAGACAGGAGGGCCTGGCATGCTCTGGTCCGTGGGGGTCACGAAGAGTTGGACATGACTAAACAACAATATATATTTGGGGTGGGGTAAAGGGAAGAACCAGTTCTAGCAAGGTATTTTATACATGCGGAGCTAATGGTGTCTACTGCTGGGCCTGGAAGAAAATGTGGATCTGGTGAGGGGAGGTGGTCTTGGGTGAGTGAGGACTTGAACCACCGAAGGTTGATTTCTCTGAAGGCTCAGGAACGCTGATGTGCTAATGTGGCATTTTTAGGGGGGAGTGCTATTAACTGGTGACAACTAATTTAGCCTGTTGAGAAGAGTAAGGGATGCAAGTTGGTGACTACACAGGAGGTAAATGAAATATCACTGTTTTATTTAAAGTTGTTTAATCAAAAAATAACTAACTACCCCACCCTTATAAGAATTAATCGGGTACACAGCTAGGTCTGTACAAAGCTGGGAGCAGGAAATAATTTCTCTGTTGATATAGTTTTGCTGCTTTGTAACATAGCTTAAGTCTTGAATGTAATAAGAGGCAAACAATATCTGAGGCTGAACATTTTAGTAGTTTAAAGGCAAGATATTTGATGGCAGTTGGTGTATTTTTTAAAGATGGGAGAAAAGCAGATAGCAGTATTCTCAGTCTAATTCTGGGCCATGTGGTTAAAAGGGTACAGACATGATTGAGGTTGGACACTTAGGACTTCCATGATTGCCCCAAAAGTTAGGGACAGAGATGGCAAATTAGATATGCACATAGAAATCATGCATATTTTGAGATGCTGAGGGCCAGGGAAAGAAAAATGAATGCCTCTGTATTTTGAGGTTTGAAGGGACATGATTCAGCACTGCAGACATATCTAAAGAGAATGCAATTTGAAAGAGAGATTTTGAGGGGAATGAACCAGGGTAGAGCAGCTGGGAATCAGAAAAGAGAATTCCTAGAGAGCCATCCAGACCGGGCTTCTGCTACATCACGACATAGGCCAGGTGTAGAGGAACACACCTGTTAATGTGAGTGGAGATGTTTAAGATCACTCTGTCTTGTCCTGGGATATTTAATTCAGTTATTTCACCTTTATTGTAGTAGTACAGAAATAGACACTAAATCTACTGTCCAAAGGGGGTAAGCATGAAAGGATGGAATGAAATAGAGGAACACTTTCATCCTACCAAAAATCAAGCACATACATTGACTGTGGTTACAAAAGAGTAATTGAAAATGATTTTAAGGTATAAACAACATATGTTAAGAGGTCCTGAGTATGTTTTTCCTGGATTCATGTGACCACTCCCCACTCAGTTTTCAAAGCTGGTTGCTTCTGAAAGCAAAACACCCTTCAAGAAGGGTTGTATGAACTATTATTTGAATAAGGAAAGAGGGTTGAATTATGGCTCATATCTGTAGGCAGATGTGGGAGTTTAAGGTAAATTGGAATGACATAGGTGAAAACAAAATAAAACCAAAGAGTTAAAAAACACAAAAACATTGTGGCACTTTAAAGACTAACTTTTATATATTTTTAATGTGAACTTTTGTGGACAAGTCCACTTTGTCAGGCATGTCTTATGTAGTGGACTTGTCCACGAAAGCTCACAAAATATATATATATACAGTATATATATATATACACACTGTATATAAGTTAGTCTTCAAAGTGCTACCACATTTTGTCTTCTTTTATTCTTTAGTTTTATTTTGTTTTCACCTGTAATGCTGGCATAGACTAACACAGCTACACCTTCTACAACTACTGGAATGACATTATAATTGTACTACATGGGACATCTGAGGTGACTTTCCTCCACTAAGTCCTGTCACTAGGAGGTGATAAAATTTAATACCAATGCAATTTTATATACCCCAGTAAGAACCAGCAAGGCTCAACCACGTTCTCCAAAATGTAGTATATCTTGCTGAGCAGTATGACACATCGCAGTGACTCAGGGCATCCTTTATAAATCCTTAAGAAACAAAAGACCCCTACTCCAGCCTATCCTGACAGACCCTGTGATGTCAATTATATATTGCTGGGAAATCTCACACATGGGAACAAAACCAATAGTATCTCATTAGGAACAAAATACACTGACAGTAATCAGCATTTATTCTGAAGGCATAATGTGGGAGGCAAAAAATATAGGGAACGTTTAATGCAGGTGTGGGTTTTCCCCCTTCCCACAGAGAAAGAATAAGGAGAAGGTGTGATGCAAAATATACCCCCCTGCTATGCAGGAACAATCACAATGTATGAATCACAAATTAGCATCAAAATATCACTGCAGCCCTTTCTGGGCTCCTGGCTTTGAGGGTTAGCAGAGGAAGAGAGGTGAAGGTGGTGCATTGGGTAAGTATACTGTATAAGCAGAGCAGAGTAGGAAGAGTCCAGAGGCTATTAAAGCATCCACTGTCCCTTTAAGAGGCTGTCCGCTCCCTGCCCCATTCCTCCATTTTCCCAGAGTCTACATCATCCCCCTCCTGTGCATCATTCCTGCAGCATCACAGTTTCTAGCTCCTTCCCTCTGCCCCCCCTTCCCCCATCAAACTGCTTCACGGGATGGGAGCAGCTGCTGGGAAGGTCCAAGGGAATGACTGAGGTAGGATTTTGGAGATCTTTGGTTCTGCACAGGAGTAAAACTTGCTGGTTTATCTGTCCATCTTTCCCCTCCCCCTTCCTTTACTTATTTACCCATTGCTTCACTTTCCTCTGGCTTTTATCCACCTGCTTTCTTATCCCATTTCACAATGTTAGAAGTGATCTAATTATTCATTCCATCTTTTCTGCCGCCCCCCACCCCAGTGATTTCCAGCTCCTGCTGCACCTCCTATCTCCCTAAATCTCATACCCTTTAAAAAAAATTCTCTGTTTGCCTAGAGAAAGGGCAGGTAACTTCAGAAAGACTAGGGTCATTTTTTGGGGGGCTGTCAAAAAATAATGTTCCTACTGTCAAGCTGAGCCTGCCTGGAAGATAAGCAGAAAGTATGAAAAAGTAAAACTAAATATAGCTGGCAGTATTTGGATTCAGATTATTATTATTTTTTTCTGGGTTAGAAAGAGTTGTGGGGGGATATCCTATATTCCAGTTTATTTCAAAACCATGACTGGAGGCTTGCACAAGTAGAAAATGACTTTTGCAGACTTCTTTATTTAAAATGGGAAAACATCCAGAGGCTGCATAACCTGCCTGGTATTGGGTTAGTCAAATGAGGATGAAACTGGCCAATAGGAGCCCTCTGATTTCAGAAGGATATTGGTCCTAAGGACAATCTGCTCCAGTAAAAGTTGTAGAGAATGTTACTGTGCCCCTTTAACTGTGTTTAGAATGCACACATCTTAAGATTTCTACCACTTTTCTTTCTCCATAGCTGTTATGTATGCTGAACCATCCGCCATGAATTTCCGGAACCATGGGTTCTTTCGCCGGTCTCCGCCCCCATCTGTGGCAAAACCATCTCCTGCTGCTGGGAACAGTTTGTCTGTATTAGGAGGGATTGCTCAGATTTCTCCTTGCCTCTATCTCTGCTCTGGCAATGCTGCAGCCAACAGGCATATGGTCTATTCCAGGGCAGTGACCTGTGTAGTGAATGCCACGATGGAAATTCCCAATGCCAACTGGCCAGATATTGACTATGTTAAGGTACCCGTCCCCGATCTCCCACATGCTCCACTGTCCTTATACTTTGACTCTGTGGCTGACAGGATACACCAGACAGGAAAAAAGAATGGAAGAACCCTAGTCCACTGTGTAGCTGGTGTGAGTAGGTCTGCCTCCCTTTGTATTGCCTATCTTATGAAGTATCACCGGTTGAGCCTCTTGGATGCCCATGAATGGGTGAAGAGTAGACGGCCTGTTGTAAGACCCAATGTAGGCTTTTGGAGACAACTCATTGAGTACGAACGCAAGCTGTTTGGGAAGAACACGGTCAAGATGGTGCCCTCGCCCATTGGGTTGGTCCCAGATGTCTATGAAAAGGAGACCCGTGGGCTGGTCCCCTTGTGGAACTTAAGATAGACACTGGGTAACTTTGGGAAGCTGGTTGGGTGGTGGGCTGCTTGGATTTAGGGTCAAAATACTCCACCATGTTAGGACCTGTAGGAAGACCTTCAGACATGGTGGATCTCAATAAGAAATTCTGTTATCATAGTCTTTTTTGTAAGACCTTATAATATGAGTAGATCATGGAAAGTTGCTTGGACCTTTAAGTGTGCTAGGCTTTGATGTTTGGTTCTGCCTTGTCAAACAGTACTAAGGACTTAAATCTCACTTATATTCTGAAAAGATTGTTAAAAACAAAATATACACAATATTTTGTCTACAGTATGGGCTCCAAGGTTTGAATAAATTAATCCTAACTTAGTGAAGGGAAAGGGAAAAATACTAATAGCTGAAGATAGAACATTAGAACTACTTTGCAGAAACAGGGACTTTATTTTACTTTTAGTTTACTTTCAATGAACACAATACATTTCCCCCCTCAGGGAGTGAAATTTAAGCACTAAGGGGATGGGAATTTATGTTACAATTTCTCCCAAGGCACAGTATTCAAGGACTGCTCAACCAGTAAGGGGGCAACAGTCAAGACACTGGAAATCACAAAACTTCCACTGATAGGCAGAAGAATTCAGCTCCAGAAACCTGAAGGTGATTTTAGTATACGTAATAATTTTCAGTGAACAGGCTGTAGTCTGGTTTGTGGGTGTCAGGAATACGATTTTAAGCGTCCTGTTCTAACTTGGGGAAACGCAACAATTAGGAAGAGTGGATAAATGTTGATACTACCTCAATACAAGGCTCACTCAATGCTGCGGAAGACAAATTACACCCATAAGATGGACGTTAAACTGGAAAGGCTTTAAAGTACTGATACATCAGTTTCTAGCAAGTGGGGTTTACATTCAACAGTAAAGCCAGTCCTTCTCATATCCCCTCTCCCCAGGGATTTATGAGATAGTTTTGATGCTAGGAAAGGAAAGATCAGGAACAGCGTTCTACACACTTTATAAAAAAGCAATTATTCTTGGGAAAAGCTTCTATACAAATAGGGAATAGTGTATTTTTAAAGCTTTATTGCAATAGCAAATAGAACATAAGCGTACACTGAGGAGGCAGAGCTGAAATATGGACTTCTTGTATCCCAAGAAGAAAATGATTTCCATTTGAAGGATGTTTTCTGACATAGTCAAAACAGGGAGGTATACCCAGATGTTGAGCAAATGTCCAGTTAAATTACAAGGGAAGTGTTAATTGTTTCAAAATGGGGTAAGCACTTTGGCATCTTCAAGGTCTAGAGTTATTTCTGCTGACTGATGGTGTGTGGGGAAAACAATGTAGAGAAATATATCCCTTAGGGAGCTGTAGAGTTGCTCTGGAGGTGCAAATTTCAGAGCTTCTCAAAAATGAGTTTTCTACCATGAAGTAATGGAATGGATTCAAGTACTGTATTGGCATACGCCAGTCTCTTGTTTGAAAAAGAAGCCATCTTGTTAACATGGTCCTTTCTGAAACTCTCGTTGCTAGTATAGGTTTCTGTGGCTAGAAAAGGAATGGCTTGACAGCAGCTTCACAATGGTGCTTTCCCCAGCAGGAAATGCATTTTCCTTCTTTTGGAGGTTTCATCCTCCATTGACTTTTTACAACAAATTCCCAGCAGGCCTTTGGTTCTCAGTCAAGCGCAGCTAAATAGAAAGGTCTAGAAGCTTATAGAACAACGGCTAAATAAGTTGGTAGACCAATAAGGTTTTTGGAATGATAATAGTTTATTGCAGAATCTTTCAAGATGGCTCTAGCATGTGTGTGTGAGGAACGGGATATCTTGTTCTCACAGAAAATACGTTGTTCTCACAGAAAACCTTTAGCGTAAGAATCACTGGAAACTTTGTCATAGCTGAGCTGTAGGCCAACATGATTTGTACAATTATGTTGGTACAAAACCAACTAATTTTGGAAGTCCTGTGTAGGCAGCAGCCCATCTCTACTATATTTACCATGAATACACGGAAGAGTAAAATATTAGTGATGGCCGGACAAAATTCTCCTGTTAACAGACACTGTAGCATTTTGAACATTTAGTTTTTGGAAGTGGGCAATAGCACACATTTTGTAGTTTTATATTATTTCTGATTTGTAACTTGATGCCAATGTTAGGAAAATACAATAATAATATTTCTTAGCAGGGGAAGCCTATTTCTTTCAAACATTTTGTGGGATATTTTCGATTTTCTTTTCAGATGCTGCCTATTTCTATGGTGTCTTTTGTTAAAATTCCTAGCAGCTGAAAATTAATTTAATGATGGAAAATGCCAATATCTCCTGCAATAAGTATGGTGATTTTGAAGAAATAGTCTTAACACCTAAAAATGGGGTGGGGGAGCCCCAAAGTTATCTGAGGTTGTGAGTAAAGGATTCTCTAGGTAAGGATACTCTTGATTAAAAGGTTATTTTGTGAGAATTTTGTGGCCTAAAAACGAAAATATTTCACAAACATGCTTCTACCTGTTTTCAGGACTCTCCTCTTTTCCTCCATGTCTGGTTTTTTTCAGCATTTCAAGCTATGGTATTAATCAGGGGAAAAGTGATGTCTAGAATCTTAACACCAGCAGTTCATTCTTTAGAATTAGGCACAGAACCCTCAAGATAAAGAGTCCCTCAGTCTCCCAAAATTGCTGGAATCTTAATGGGTGATATACATATTAAAGATAATAGCTTATAAGACTGAATGTTGCACAAGCTAATGTATGTATGACACTGGCATATAATATATTGTCTTTTGAAAGTCTCTCTTGAGCGAGGACCCAAAAGAGAACTGCGGCTATCATCCAGAAGCTTGCTCTAGGGCTTGGAACATGAGTCGGTCTTCCTTTAAGTGTTTCATATGTATATATAAGCATCTAAAGCTTCTCCTCTTCTGTATACTTTGTACATACCAGAGATGTAAAAGAAAAGAAAAAGAAAAAAAGTCTCTATATTAATTAAAATTAGGATTTCTTATGGTTTCAGTTCAATGAAAAAATATGTTAATAAAAATGCAAATGAACGACCTCCTGCCATTTTTCCTGACAGCTTGGCTTTTTGGTTTCATGGAATGATGCTTTTATCGGTGCCTGTAAAGCGAGGAATCCGTCCAAAAAATGCAGCGGGGAGCCATTTTACACAGCGGGCAGCCATTTTGAAGCCGCCAATCAGCTGTTTTAAAAACGTAATGCAAAGAATCGGTTCCTGAAGCAGGAACCGATTGTCAGGAAGCAAATTTTACCTATTAAAACATCGTTTTGCGATCGCAAAACAGTAATCATATAGCGGTTTTTAATGAAGTAATCGTTAAGCGAGACACCACTGTATATCTAAACCACTGAGCTACCCAGCCAGCTTTTACACTTTATTAGGAATCTGCTGTTTGGCTTTTGCAGAAATCAGCAGTCTCATCCCCTCTACGTAAATACGAGATATTAGCTGAGGTAACAAATTCTGTCCAAGCATGGACACTATAGAGGGTGGGTGCAAGGAACATACCTGGAGGTTAGAAGGGGATTTTTAAGCTGTACAGTTCTAAGCTGCCAATTTTCTGCATCACGTGTGTGTGAATCATACAACCATCTTATCAGTCTGGTGGCCCATAAGTTAGGGATGACCCATGCCAGCAGTTCAACTTCACCCTGTTCATATGCATTCCCCTGCAACGTGAGATCATGCCATCAGGAGGGCTGTAGCTCAGGCAAGTCACATAAACTCCACTACCTAAACTGCAGGGCCTTTGTTCCATGAGATCTAGAAGCCCGTCCATTTCAGGCAAAACTACAGGAAATAGGTCATTTCCAGCCATCCAGATTCCATGCCAGATACTGGGTTATGATGAATCGGAGAACACTCTTGTGAAAGAGTATGTGAGGTTAATATGCTCAGGAGGAGCATGGTGCTGAAAATGGAAAGAGATGTAGTATGGGCTTCATAAGAAAAGGCCTCTCATCTTAAAATCCAAAAGAGCTTTTATTTAACAAATATAAAAACATTTATGTTTTCAGTCATAAAATTTCCAACATGCAACCTTTACAACAACAGGTAAATATGATCCTCACTACAAAAGCACATCCACCCTTTTCTGCCCCTGTGCCTTCTAGTCTAGAATGACTGTCATTCCGTTTTAAGTTAAGGCCAAGGAAAAGTTGCAGAGGGAGGGAGAATGTGTCCCGCACAACAAGAGAAACTCATGGTCCAAGAATTTTTTTTTTGAGGGGGGAAGCCATCACCTTCCAATGTCCACTAAATTGTGCTCATGTTTAAGAATGTTCACCCTACAGAAGGGTCAGATGGAATTGATAGTAATGCAATAACCCAGATATTTTAAAGAACTGAGCTATCTCCTTCCGCCCACTTTGCTCAAACATAATTCTTTAGCAAGGGATGAATATTTGCCTTCCACAGAGGTATTAAAGTCTTTCCCCTTTTCGCTCAAAACAGGAGCTGGTCGACAACAACATAACATTTTACGAACAGGTTTGTTTCACATCTACGAAAAAAAAAGAAGTGAGCTAAGAACAGGAATGAGCCACTTCTAGGTTGTTGCTCACAGTTCCCTCAGGGTGAGGGCAACGGATGACCCAGGCCATCGCCATCCCCCTGTCCCCACAGAACAGGAATGAGCCACTTCTAGGTTGTCGCTCACAGTTCCCTCAGAGCGAGGGCAATCACCAGCCTCCGGTCCCCACTCCAAAGTCAATTGCTTTCCCCATCTGAACTGATGACCCCTCGGAGATGGGACCAGTCTGTCGCACGGCGTTGGATGGTGGGCTCCTCTGGAGAGCTGGGTGGCTCCTGGGCCTTGCTGTACAGACTCCAGACGTTGCGACGTCTTGGGCGGCCTGTATGGAAGGAAAAGAGATCAACGCTTCACAACATGCCACACTGATACCCACAGACCTCCAGGGGCCAAGCTCATAGACTTTACCTCATTCACAACACCAACCTCAGATGCAAAGCAGCTGTGGGGAGGGGAGTGTGTGCGGGTGGGGGGGTGAGGTCTGACTCCGCAGCCCGGTCTGGCTCAGGCCACGGACCGGTACCGGGCCGCAGACCGGGGGTTTGAAGACCTCTTCCTTAAGAGGATCCTGGTCCACTCCTAATGAAGACCACACTGTCTTCCTATAAGGCAATCCCAATTTTTCCCAAACCCTTCGATCTTTCCATTTGCATATGCAAAACAATGAAAATACTGTAGTATTTGCTGAACCATGATGGTGTGGATGGACGGCGCAACCCCATTACCATTCAGTGCTGTCACATCCACATGAAAGTCAGAATGGCCATGGACAACATCCATTCTCCAGCAGGAGAGGAACAAGACGACAGAAAAGTGTGACACATTTCCCACATATGGGCCCAGAAATAAGACACCGAGCCCGTTCTATCCTAATTTCAGAATGGAAACAAAAAACCACCCTTGACATCAGGTAGTACATTCATCTATTCAAGACCCTGATAGGGAGGAAATACATCACAAGTAATTTTTCTTGATTCCCTGTTTTTTTCCAGGCCAATGTGTGTGCATGGGGGAGAGATTTAAATAGACATAGAATTAAAAGAAAAAAAATCTTTCTGAATGTTTCCAGTTTTCTACCCACCCACCCACCTGGAATTTTATACAGTGGTGCCTCGCTTAACGATTACCTCGTTAAATGATGAAACCACTTGACGAAGTTTTTGCGATCGCAAAATGATGTTTTAATGGTAAAAATTCACTTAACGATGATCGGTTCCCTGCTTCGGGATGATTTTGAAACAGCTAACTGGTGGCTCTAAAATGGCCGCCCACTGTGCAAAATGGCTCCCCGCTGTATCTTCAGGACGGATTCCTCGCTTTACACGCATCGAAAATGGCCACCCTATGGAGGATCTTCGTTGGACGCTGAGGTATTTTGCCCATTGGAACGCATTGAACTGGTTTCAATGCATTTCAATGGGCTTTTTCTTTTTGCTTGACGAGGATTTTGCTTAACAGCAATTTCAACGGAACGTATTATCCTCGTCAAGCGAGGCACCACTGTATCACTAGCTAGACCCTTCCCTTTAGCTCCTTCCACCATATCCCTTTTGACCTTCTGTGGAGATAATGTTGCTGATATCGAGCGAAGCCATCTCAGCTGCTTCTTCACGCTTCTGCTTCAGGGCCTTGCACTTGGCCAGAGATGGTGGCCCTGAAGAAAAATGAGAGAAAGCAGTGATCAAGAAGTGCTACACATTGACGGGTATTCAGAATTCTGACCTAGAAATGACCATACATAAAACTAGGCCACCTGTGTTTCTGTGAAACAGATCCTGCATCTTTAAAGATCTGCAGCTGGCAAACATTCAACAGTGGCTTCTGTCTGGCATGGATTGATGTGAAATGCCAATCTGGTTGGTGGCGTGAAGTAAAACAGATTTCTACCCTGTCCATCCCCTGCAAATCAGAGGAACCCTGGCTTTGCCCCTCAAGGGGAAGGAAGAAATAAGAGAAGGAGGAAGGAAGAGGTATAGCCCATATGTACTACACATTTTCTACATACAGAAGGTCCGTCCTATGCTCAATCCCTGGCAGCTCTGGGTAAGTTGGTGAAACAGTCTTCTTCATTCATACCATTTAGTGTGGACAGCATGGTACCAGAGGGACTAACAGTCTGGCTTAGTACAAGGCAGCTTCTTCTGCTGGACTTCTGGGTTATTCTAATTGTTTAAAATTAAACAGAGCAGCGCATCACAAAAGCGTGCTGCTTATACACCACCCCATAGTGGCATATAAGCATTCTCGGTGCCGTTTACAATTTAATTATCCAGGCTACACATTGCTCCCCCCTCCGGCAAGCTAGGTACTCAATTTAACAAACTCAGAAGGATGGAAGGCTGACTGAACCTTAAGCCAGCTATCTGGGATTGAACCCCAGGTCATCAGCACAGCTTTGGCTTTACTTTACTTTATTTAGATTTATACCCCGCCCCTCTAGACAAAGTCTACTCAGGGCGGCTTACAAAAAATACTATGGTTTAACCACTGTGCCACAAGGCTCCTTACAGAAGGAAAGCATCTTATTCTTAACGCTGTTAAAGGTGGGGAACCAGAAAAATCTGGCACCCTTTTTAAGATAAATGGAACATGATTTCCTATAGCTAAGGGATTACAGCACCTTCTATGGCTTTTCGAATAACTCCTCTCCAAGGCTAGCATCTGATCTTTCACTCATCTCAAAAAGAAGGAATGAAAATCACCTGCTGGGGCATCATACTGGCATTCAAGTTGCAGAATAGATCAGAGACCACAAGTCTAAATACCCATCACCCTGGCACAACATTTTGGAGATTTGGAACAGGTGGCACCAAGTGTGCATGGTATTGCTAACTCAGCCTCTGTGCCATCCCCAGCCCCCCAGCAGGAAGTCTTCCTGGCCTATCTTGGTATCTGCCTCGCTCCACCAGAACAAATTCATGCTTACCTTTCAAACCAAGGTTTTCCAGCTCCTTTTTGAGGATCTCCACTTGAGCTTTGCGAGATCGGCAACCCGCAAACAGTTTCTTGTAATTCCGGTGCACACCGCATTCCCGGATGTAGCGCTTCAGGCGTCGGATGGAGGGGTGCTCCTCACCCTGCCATCATAAGGAGAAGTGAGAACAAAGAGAAGCTTAGAAAGCATCCCAACATAGCCAGTGACACAAACATTCCTTACAACTCCATCAGTGCAAAGAGGGAGTCTAAATTGCTGGCAAGTGGCCAGGAAGGGGATCTCAGGGTTGTGACAGTGGATGGACCTGCAGAAGGGTGATGAAAGGCCAGCACAGCATCCAGCTGCTGTGAAAAAACCCAGATTCCATGCTGGGGTTCGTTAGAAAAGACATCAAAAATAAAACTGGACCATAAAGCTTTGATACAAAGATCCTACCAAAGCACACCAGTAATACAGTGGTGCCTCGCTTAACTATGTTAATTGGTTCAAAAAAACACACATCGCTATGGGAAAACATCGTTAAGCGAAACACCATTTCCCATAGGAATGCATTGAAAACCGGTTAGCTCGTTCCAATGGGAATGGATTACCATCGTTAAGCAAAAATCCCCATAGGAAACATCACTAAGTGAAACAATGCTTCCCCCATCGGAAAGCTATTGAAATGCACTGAAGCCGACTCAATGCATTTCAATGGCTTTCCGATGTCCGTTTTCGCTCATTTTTAAGTGTCTTAAAATGTTTGAAACCTGTTTTAAATGCTTGGAATCGGTAGTGCACCTTGTGAAACATGTGCAAACTTAATTTGGCTTTGTTCTGAGTCTTCGTTAATTTTTGGTGATTTTTTGTTTTCCCCAGTTCAATGGATTTAAATGGGGAAAACAAAAAATCACCAAAAATTAACGAAGACTCAGAACAAAGCCAAACTAAGTGTGCATAGGTTTCACAAGGTGGACTAACTATTCCAAGCATTTAAAACAGGTTTCAAACATTTTAAGATAGTTTTAAATGAGCAAAAACTGACATCGTTAAGTGAAATTCCCCCATAGAGAACATCGTTAAACGATGCGGAAAATTCCTCAAAGAAACCCATCGCAAAGCGAATACATCGTTAAACGAAGCAATCACTAAGTGAGGCACCACTGTACTTTGTAAAGGTCTGGTCCCTCCACCCCAAGAAAGATTTTGTAGAGCTAGAAATTTGCGTATTCACTATGTGGTGTCTAACACAGGCTTACACTGCTTTAGAAAGGGATAAGATGGGTTTGTGGAAGAGGAGGAACCAAGGGAAATTCGTCATGATGGTTAGATAAAGCCTCCCAAGTTCAGAGAGGGTATTTCTTCCTGGGGGGAGTGGGGGGGGGACGAGAGGATTATTGCTCTTATGGCTTTCTCCTAAGCTTCCCGAAAGAACCTGGTGGCTCACTGTAAAAAAAAAAAAAAAGATTTTGTACTGGATAAATCCTCCCTGAATGAAGCACAGAATAGGTTCTCAGGCAGCCTTTCTTCACATGGTGTCCCCGGATGTGCTAGACGAGAACGCCCACCACCTCCAGCCCACATGAGCATTTGTTGGGTTCATAAAGTGGTGGTGGTGGGAGCCGTTCTAGGTTGAAGGGAAACAAGGAACTTTCATACAGATTCAGAAAGAAGCCTTTTTCCACTTTAGAGGGGCACACGAGTGAGCGCCAGAGCTTGGCTCTTGGACCAAAGGGAAGAGCGATGGAGCCTGGCAAAGACAGGCAGACCAAGTATTTGAACGATTCTTGCCCAAAGCGAAAGAGGCCAAAAATGACACACATCTTTCCCTCAGAGCTTAGGCAAGCAATGTCTGTGTACAGCTAGTGAACCATAAATTTATTTATTGGACTTATATACCGCCCCATAGCGCTACAAGCACTCTCCGGGCGGTTTACAATTTTAATTATACAGGCTACACATTGCCCCCCCAGCAAGCTGGGTACTCATTTTACCGACCTCGGAAGGATGGAAGGCTGAGTCAACCTTGAGCCGGCTACCTGGGATTTGAACCCCAGGTCGTGAGCACAGTTTTAGCTGCAGTACAGCGTTTTAACCACTGCGCCACGAGCTAGTGAACCATAAGGGAGTTACTAATTATCACATCACCTCACCTTTCCTTGATGCTGCTGTTTGGAAGATGTGGGATTATCCTCATCCTCTGAGCTAGGGGACTCTTCCTCCTTCACAGATGCATCGTAGGATGCTTCCTTGCTGTTAATTTTCTTTGCAGGCTTTCCTTTTTCTCTTTTCAGCTGGCTGGGAGTTCTTTTCCTTCCCGCTAATTTGCTGTCAGAATCCTCCGGATCAGCCTCTGAATCTTTTTTGCTCACCCTCTGGGACTTCTCCGCTCCTCCCCTTTTCACCTTCTCTTCCCCCTCGTTGGATTCGCTCTCAGACCCATCCGTGCTTTTCTTTTGAAGCCCTATTTCCCCCGTCTCACTCTTGCTTTCGCATTCGTCGGATCCACTCTCTGATTCGTGGCTGCTCAGAGTCTCTTTCCTGAAAGTGCTTTTACCTTTTTCTGACTCCTCTGTCTCACTTGTGGACTGTCCTTCACTTCTACGGCCTTTTTGCCTTCCCTGATTTTTTCGTTTCGAGCCCTTTGCCTCATCCGTTCCGCTTTCCGAATCTTCGCTGATCACAGTCCTTTTGGGTTTCTCCACCTCTTGCTTCTTTTCCTCCTGTTCTTTCTTCCCACTCGTATCCCTCCTCTGTCTCTTCTTCACGTCTCCCTTCCTGGACAGCCTACTGCCTTCAGAATCACTCTCTGATTTATGGCTCTGTTTTTTCCCCTGTGGCCTCTTTGTTTTCCCTTTGGGTGTTCCTTTCTTCATCTGACTCTTGTCCCAGCTGCCATCTGAATCACTTCCCAGTTCTTCTGCACTCACACTTTCTCTTCTTCGTTCGCTATTTGCCATCTTTTTCTTGACCCTTAACTCCAAATCACTCCCGGAGGCATCCTCGCTCTCAGGCTCCTCCTCCTCCTCCTCCTGAGCCTTCTGAATTCTTTGTCCTCTCTTGTTCCCCTTCTTGTTTCGGTTATCCCACTCCTCCTCTCCACTCTCACTGGAATCAACTCTTTTTTTCCTGGGTATTTTCCCCACTTTGGAGGGCTCACTTTTTTCTTCCGGCTCATCATCTTTTTTTCTCCTTTGCTCATCCTGCGTTCTGTCCTTTCCTTTGGCCTCAGTCCGTTTGTGTTCTTTGCCAAACCTTTTCTTTTTCTCGAACTCCCACTCGGAGTCATATTCCAGCTCAGTTTTTTTGCCTTTTGACGCTTTTATGTGTTTTTCAATTACCGCCAGTACATCGCTGTCTTGCTCTTCTGTGTCTTCGTCGGACTCACTCCCTGAAGTCTCTTGCTGCCTCTTGACAAACCGTTGCTTGGTTGTCTTGCTACCTTTGAAGCTCTCCCTTTGTGACTTCCAGTGTGATGCCCTTCCTTTGTTCTCTGGACGAAGCCCATCACTCCCTGATTCATCAACGTGAGTTTCTGCTCTGTCTAATTGATCAGAGGACTCTGAGGACTTCCTCTCACATTTTGAGGTGCTGCGGAGTGGTACTTTCTTAGAATCAATCCCAGAATCTTCTTCATCAGAACTGACTTCTGAAGGAAAAAGAAAAGCAGAAGGGAAAAACATTACACATCTTGGCAACATAGTGCTGTTGCTCTCTTGGCTCTATCACTTAGCACTTGTCTGACCACCTATGGCGAGTAACAACTGTCCATAGGCAACCAGTCATCCTCAACACCAGCAGAAGAGATCAAGTCAAAACGGGTCATCTGCATATTATTGCCATAATACAAAACAATCTGCTTCGAAGATTATATACTTTCTTGACTTATCCTTGTGTTTAATTTTTTCTATCCAGTCTTTCCATTAAAAACCTCTGAAAGCAGCTTCTAAAAATAAAACCAACACCAAGAAAAAAAAGACAACTATGAGAGGAAAAGGGAACCATATCGAAAGAACAACATCAGCAATGATACAAAAACCACATTGTTCATTCAAAGCACACTGTTGACTAGCCTCAGTTACTGCAACTACTTATTCTTCAAAAGAATGCAACAACAATTTAAAAAAAAAAAACCAACTCATCTGGTTGGCTATAAATCAGGAAACAAGACCAGTTACCAGTACATTAAGGGAAAACAGAAGCACTTCCTCCTCCAATATATGATCATATTATGGAAATATGGACACTGCTACCCAGAAAGAGAGCCTCTTCTGTTCAAGGAAGAATACTATTTTTTTTCAATAAAAATGCACCTACAGTTTCCAAATAACGATGGAAAGCATCTTTATGAGTCTCTTCCCAGCCCAAATCTACCACAAGGAAGAAAACAATACATGTTGTTTTATAGCCCAACTTTTACCAAGTTTCTTTCTCATTCGTTGCTTCTTCTGCTCCTGTTTGCTTTGGACCTCATCACCAGAGCTACTGGAGGTGCAGCGGGGTCTCTTCTGGCCTTCCGGTTTGACAGAAACCGGGACTTCATGGCCTGAGGAATCAGCACTGTCTGGAGAATCATCAGCCTGTGAATGTGTAAAAACAAACAAACATTTCAAAATTAATGCAATTATATCCCTTTCACTGCTTCCTTGGGCATAATACTGTACACCCTTCCTCTCCACCCCAAAGCTTTCCAGCTGCCTCCCTCAAGGGTACACAACTGCCCATCTCCCTTCAACCATGGCGCGCACCTTCATCTGGATCAGTTCCTCTTCTACCAGCAGTTTGAGTTGCTCCTTCTCCTCTTTAGTTAGACTTTCTTGCCCAGTGTGGGCAAGGTATTTCTTCCGGACGATGACATGAGTGAGAACACTGCAAAGAGACCGTGATGATGGTGAGGCAGGTTGCACCGACCCAACACCCATTGTTTTTATACCACTAAACTGTACAAGGCGACTATGGGCGCAATGATATCTCCATTGCATTGTCATTACAGGTATGCCCTACTATAGCCCACAACCCCAGTTTCATTTATCGAAACACCTGGTGGGAGGTAGCCGTTCTTCATTTTTAATACATTTCTGTTCTGCAAGCCATCTAGGAACATGTGTTAATGGGCAGCCATTCTATTTTATTATTATTATTATTCCACCTTCTCCCAATCCAATGCCACAAGGCAGTTTACAAAAATGATTTAAAATAAATAAGCCAAAAATTTTAAAATACAGTTAAGAACATAATAATGATAATAGACATTGAACAACTAGGAACATTTTTTTAAAGGACATTTTTTTTTAACAACTAGGAACATTTTTTAAGGCAACCCTTTGGTTGCCAAAGACTTGCTTGAGCATCACTGCCAACAGAAGGCCAGGAAAGAAGGGGATGACCCTTTTAAAATACAGTTAAGAACATAATAATGATAATGGACATTGAACAACTAGGAACATTTTTTTTAAAGGACACCTCCCTTCAGTTGCCAAAGACTTGCTTGAGTATCACTGCCAGAAGGCCAGGAAAGAAGGGGATGACCTAAGTTCTGGTGGAAGGGAGTTTCACAGTCTGGAAAAACTCATGTCCTCAGCGATTCATAGTACGCACCTTCATGGCAAAGGTACAGGAATCTGAGCTTGCCTTGGAAAACTGCATAGTTTAATCCTAGGCTTGGGTGTGTTATCCTTTCACTCTGCACATGCTCGTGGTCGTTCTCATCATTACTTTGTTATTGTGGAGATGGCATTCCAAACAGAGCATGCCAAGGGGAATGGCCACTAACTACCTCTCTGGTTCCTATTAAACCGTGCAGAAAGCTCCGAAGTCTTGGATCAGAGCAGGGCAGAGTCAGTCCCACCCCGCCGGCTGCGGCAAGGGGAACCCCGAGGCCCGGTCCCCCACCTGAGATCAGGGCTCCCTTGGAAGAGCCCCCTGATAAAGTCCCGCATCTCTGATCTCCTTCCAGCACTCTCGGCGGCCATCCTTTCCCGCCAACTGGCTCCTCCGAGCCAACGTAGCCGTCGAGCTCGTCGGAATTTTAGTCCGACGCAAGGGGGAACGCCTGTCGCGCGACGCAATGCCTGATGGGAAACGTAGTTCCCCGGCAAGACGCCGAGCGCGCTTTACCCTACCGCATTGTTTCGTACGTTTCGTTGGTTTCGGGAGAGAGAACCAATGGGGGGAGGAGCCTAGGACCCGCTAGCCTTCATGGGAAATGTAGTTTTCTTTTTTCTCCAATGATTCTTCATAGTTTCTCAACTACGGGAAGAAGGCAACGAGGTTTAATTTAAAGGATGCTTTATTGGTGTGGCAAGATGGATTCTTCTCCTCTTCTAGGAATGGTTCCATACGCACGATCTACGGGGACGTTTTTACATATATTGAACGGGATTTTCTAACATTTCGTGACTGGGAAGAATCTGCAGGTAAGGATTAAATGGTTTGCGCAATCAGGCTGGGAAATAGCTGGTTGTCTGCAGAGATGCGAGTTCTGTGTCCCTTAAAAAGTTCACACACCACATTTCGAATATCGATTGGTCCAAATCCAAGGTGCTGTTTCCTGACTGTTTTTACAATGTTGCTGTATTTAACTTTTATGTATTTTGCTGTGTGCACGTGGTCATAGCAAACAAACAAAAACCACCATTAGTTGTCTGGTCCGCCCTGCCAGGTACATTTTGACTCTCTTGGGTTTGGTTCCTGTGGTTTTATATCGTTTAGGTCAAGAGAGGCAATAAAACGGGGTCTCCTTATGCGTTCCCGTGTATGGATGGCGAGCGATCTTTTTATCCTAAGCTGTATAGGTCTACTCAGGGAATTTATTTGTCTGCACTTGTACGTACGCACCCCGCCGATGCCTCCCAGAGGTGTTTGATGGCAACTTCCATAATGTCTAGGTAGCGGAACTGCTAACTGAAGAAGCCAAAGGATAAAGAAAATGAAGGGAGAGTGTTTCAAGGGTGAGCAATTAACGAGTGAGGAAAATAGAAAAAGAGGCAGTCTTGGCCAGTTTTCCAGTTAAAAGTATGAGTTGCTACATTCAACCGGACTTTCTTTTCTCTGAGTATGTTTAGGACTACATCCGAAGAGAGAGATTCAAAACGTTGCACAAATTCCGAAAACAAGGGTGCGCAATATCTTTATTGATCGGATCACTTGTCCTGCCCACCCTCTTTTTCTGAATCCCAGGGAGAAAAAAAACCAAAGAGTTTCGAGGGGAAGGGAAGGAGTGTCACCAAGCACCAAAGTCCCGCCCCCTTTCCTCCCCGGGGGCTGCTGGGAGGCGTAGTTTTGCCTCTCTCCTTCCGCATCTCCATCCTGGAGCATGCTGGGAGGTGTAGTCCTTTCTCTCATGCCTCGTTTCCCCCTCCCCCACTCCCGAATCTTAGTTCCTGTCCCAAGTTTTTCCCTCAGCTGGGCATGAACGGGGCTGGGGAGCCTGATCCTGGCGCCGGGGGTTACAAAAGGCGTTACAGGGCGCTGAAGAGGAGGCTCAAGTTCCTGATTTATGTGACCACCTCTGCTGGCCAGGATTTCTGGGAGTTGGAGTCCAAGAACATCTGGAGGCCAAAGATTGGGGACCACTCGATCCCCACCTTCCCAGTCTGTCTCCTCCTAATCCAGCGTGCACACCCCAACACGTTTTTTGCGAGATATAGAATATAATGAAACACATCTGGAGTTTAAAAAGAAAATTAGCAGCCAGAGGTTTGTGTTGTGGGGAGATGTGAGGATTTCCCTGAGGAAAACGTGTGTGTGTGTGTGTGTGTGTAGGAAAAAAAAGGTTTGCCTACATGCGTCTAGGGGGTAGGCCAATTCAAGGAAGGACGTGACTTTTTGTGTCGAATAACCTTGTGGTGGTGGGTGCTTACAGCTGGCCCAAGGTGTGCTGCTGCCTGAGGCTGAGTGGCAGATTTCCCCCTCCTTTCACTCACCACTGCCAGTCAAGGGACATAGGACCTTGTACAAATGTAATTTTGGCACATGAGGTAGAATATCGCACAAGCCCCTTTCCCTAGTCCTGGCATTAAAAATAAAGTAATGACAAATTTGGTATGCAACACTGTTAGCTAAGAAAAATCTGTGCAACAGGTTGCTGACCTTTCGTGCCATTCAAAATGTTGATTCCCGAGGTGGCGACCTCAGGAATCGAAATGATATACACTATATCCATGTGTATACCGTATGTTTTGGATGTTCTGCTGGGGAAATGAGGGGAGAATTACTGTACAGGTATGTCCCATAATGCACCAAAAACATGGCTTCCTCAAACTGCATCTTGTTTCTGCCATTTATTTCCTATAGCCACCTTTGTATAATTGTTTTTAGCTTTAATTTTTTTCTTTCTATGATGTGAGCAGCCTTTGGACATTTTTAAACCGAAAGGCAGAGGGAAATATTTTAAATAAATAATACTTTAGATAAGTTTGCCCATTAGTGATGTCTAGATGGGTGGCATATAAATGCAATAAATAAATAAAATAAATAAAATAAAATAAATTAAAAATTGGAGATGTTTACCTTGTAGACTTGTTGTAACCTTTGGCCCTTCAGACATTTTCAGCTGGAGTTCCCATGATCTTTTACCTTTAGCCATGCTGGCTGATGGTAATCAAGGCCCCAAACATCTGAAAGGTTATGAGCCTAACTGCGGTCTATAGGAAGAATCAGAAGTTGGGGGACAGGAGATCCCATTTTTTAGCTGCATCCCCCAGAATCTCCCAGGCAACACAGCCAGGTTGGAAGATTCTGGGAGTCATAGTCCCAAATGGAACTTGTTTTATGCTGTGGCCTTTACTCATTATTGCATTCAATTAATATCTCTGTATTCAACGTGCAAAGCAATATACAACACTTAAAACTGTACGTTCAGAACACTTTAATGGGAAAGGAACAAACCAGTAAGGAAAATTAATTGGCATGTTCGAATACTCATGCTATATAACTGATAGTATTTTGCTAACTGAGGCAAAATCAGAGTGCTCCCCTTCCTCTGATGGGGAAGTAGCCCTCAGTGCTGCCCCTCAGTGACGGCTCCAATCTTCTACTTGAAGCAGCCGCCTCACTCATTACTGGTATGACTAGTCCTAGGAAAGGAGGAAGGTATGGAGAATATAGAGAAGAAAAAAGTACAGTGGGCAGGAACTTGTAAGGTAATCCTGGTTCTTAGCATGATCTGCTGTGTTACTTACTTCTCAGGAGCAAGAATGTTTCCAAGAAGAGCTGAGAAAAGCACAGCGAAAACTCTTGAAAGTTTCACGAGATAAAAGGTGAGAAGAGGGAAGGACAGAAGAGTTGAAAATGGTGTGGGATTAGGCTTGGAGTTGAGAGATATTTATGAGCAAAAGGCAGGGTTAACACTTTTTTGGCAGGGCTTCTGGGTTTTTATAGCTGGCTAGGTTTTCTTCATCGTTGCATCATTAGGGAAAAGTGCACCTCTTCAGTTTTGGCCCTTAAACTTACTAATAACCAGAGTTTGGTTACGTTTGAAGACGTTTGGTTATGGTATACAGACCCCCCTGTGTCTGTGTACGGTAATTGCAATAGTCTAAAAAGTAACTTTTTCAAGCTCAGCTAATAATAGCACAGGAGTGCTGCCCCCTGGAAGTGGCATCTCAACAACAGGGGCAAACATGGCAGCAGGAACGAGGTCAGTGTTTCTGAGAAGGCAGATTTAATTTGTGCCAAAAGCTATCTCTAGCTGTTGAAGCCTCTGGCTTCAGAATTTGTGTTTGCTCCAGGGATAGACGAATACACCCTGAGGAATAGCAGTAAGGAAAATAGGTGTCTGGGAGCATATGCAAATTTCCTGTCTCCTGCGATTGAGCTAATTTGGACAGAGCCTGCACACAAAATGTTGTGAGATAGGACTTCCAAGCCAGATGGATTAAAATGGTTTAATGCCTAGCGAAGGCTGACTGTTGAATGAGTGTCCCTTTTGAAAACTTGAGCCTTGGGTGTGTGTGTTGTTATCACTTTCTTTCCTTCTACACATTTTCTCTCTTCCAGTTTTCTTCTTGATCGCCTGCTCCAGTATGAGAATGTGGATGAAGAGTCATCAGGTAAACCTAAGGCTCAAAGCTCCCTTCTGTGGTGTGTTTTGGGGAGGGGAAGGTATTCCTCACAGTCTAGTAGTACATGGAGATGTCAAATGAAGATGGTATAAGATGTTATTTTGGGTAACACCAAAACAAAAATGAACAGTGGCCCAAAATTAAAGAATCATCTACAGCAGAGGTCTCCAACCCCCGGTTTGTGGCCCAGTGCCAGTCCGTGGCCTGAGTTGGACTGGGCCGCATAGACAGACCTCCCCCCACCCCTGCACACACTCCTCCCACATCCCATTTGTGCCTGCGTGTGAGTGTGCCCGCATGAACACTACGCCGCCCTTTGTGCATGTGCAGGAGTGTGCGCATGCCCATACTAGCACCCCCTGCTCCTTCACGCATGCGTGCACATGCAGGGGTTTGCTCCGGTCTTCTCCAGCCGGTCCGCGGGGCTAAGAAGGTTGGGGACTGCTGATCTACAGGACTTTGGGTTTTTACTAAGTGTATTGTTTTGTTCTGTTGTGATTCTAGATTGTTATGACATTCAGAAAGTGGAAGTGTGATAGCCTTTTCTATAGAAATTAATCTTAGAAATAAACTCTATTAATCCAGGAGCCTTTCCAAGACATATTCTCTAACTTTTGCTTTTCTTTTTAAAAGCACTGAGTCATTAATAACTATTATTTGCTAGTGTAACTAGCATTCTATAACCTTCATATGGAGCAGAAGGGCAATTGCATAAGTGTCTCTTCCATGCTTGCCTTCCCACAACCAGTTACACAACAGATCTCACTACCAAAGCGAGAACAGCCCTGTGCTGGGGAGTCTGCCAGAGCTGGAGCCACATTTATGCACTTGCTCTTCCGCTCCCCGTTTAGGCAATAGATTATCGGTCTATATATAATATAGTATAGCTACTGGCAAATCTCTCATAGTCATTTTATTTACTCTTCTTATATTCTCATATGTATATGTTTGAACCAGTGATCTCATCTTACATGAAGAAGTGGTCATGCTGTAGTGGTCATTCAGATATGTTGGAAATGAAACTCCCATAATCTTACAGACAGCTTTGGGATGAGAGAATAGGCTGCTGTGCTTTGGGGCTTTTCCCTTTGAGCAGCATCTTGCTGATCTGAGAAAGATGGGAAGGACTGTAGAAGGAAAAGGGGATTTTGGAGAATTTGCTGTTATCTTAAGGGTAGATATAATATGCTGTAACAGGTTGTGGTAAGCAGCCTGGATATAATCATGTACTTGGTAGCCAGTGGTGAGTAGACATTGTGCCCAGGTGACCAGAAAAACAATTGTTTTAGGATTGGATTGAAATTGTCATTTCACGTTGCACTGTGATAAATATTAGTGAATTAATACAAACTTTTATGGGCAAATGTATATTTTTGTACGACTGGTAAAATGTATCCTGCATAACTTGGGTCTCAGGTTTAAGTTGAGGAGTGGAAAGACGTTGAATAAGATTAGGCCATATACTTAATGTGAGAAAGTCCACTGAATATAATGGGGCTTACTTCTGAGTAGATATGTAGAGAACTGCACTGTTAATGTTCTCTTTCCCATTTCAACTTGATGTAGATAGTGCCTCTGCTCTCCTGAAGCAAGACTGATTTTATATGCTTCTGAAATTTAGCACTTTTGAAATTTATACTTTTAATAAGTGCCAATTGTAACATGCATCTTAAACTTTCTAACACATAATTTGATGTATTTAGCAGCAGTTTTTTTACTATCTATTGCTCTAGAGGTAATGGCTGCTAAAAGGTAGAGGTTCCCCTTGACGTTTGGTCCAGTCTGACTCTAGGGGGCGGTGCAAGCCATAAAGCCAGTGTCTTGTCTGTAGACAGTTTCTGTGGTCACCTGGCCAGCATGACTAGACACGGAATGCTGTTACCTTCCCACCGTGGTGGTACCTATTTATCTACTTGCATTTTTACATGCTTTCAAACTGCTAGTTTGGCAAGAGCTAGGAGAAGCGACGGGACGTTGCGTGGATTCGATCTTACGACTGCAGGTCTTCTGACCTTGCAGCACAGAGGCTTCTGCGGTTTAACCTGCAGCGCCACCACCTCCCTCTCAGTTGTTCCATATCCAGTTCTAACTGTTGCTTCCTGTCCCACATGTAGATTTCTCAGGCGATAGATAAGGTGGTCAGGCACTCCCATTTCTTTAAGAACTTGTCTGTCCAATAAGAGAAGTCATGCAGAGGAATCCATCTGGCATTGAAAGCCTTTATTTCTTGTGTCTGAACACAAGAGACCCGAGTTCCAGTTCCCCTCAGGCTTGACTATATAACCTTGACCCAGTCGCAGCCTGATTTGCCTCATGGGTCTATGTGGATAGAAGAATGTCTCCTGGATCTTCTGATCTGACTGGTTTCTCATTTTCTTTTTTTAGATTCCGAGGCAACGGCCTCTTCTGACAATAGTGATGGGGAGATGCCCAAGGGGGCAGAACCGCAGTCCTTAAAGAGGTGTGTGAGCACTGGTATCCAAAATGGAGAGTGAAGGCCAGGGCCCCAACATGGATGCCATCAATTCAGATTGCAGGCTGAGCTTCACTAGACCACTTGAAGACACTGAACGTTGTCTGATTTCGGAAACCAAACCTGGTTAGGCATGATTAGTACTTGGGTGGGAAACTGCCAGGGAATTTCAGGGATTTACAGGTAGGACTAGGAAAAAAAAACCTTGTCCAAAACCCTTGATTGTGTAGAATTAATTTTGTCAATATTGGGCTCCACCTGTGATGAGCAAAATTTGCTCTCTCCAAGGTAGCTTTTATTACTGACCAGCCCTCCTCTGAATTCCTGTTTTGCTGGCAAAAATATTGAATTGCACTTTCTAGAAGTCTCCAGGAGTGGCAATTCACCATTTTAATATTTCAGAGAGGCATCCTGCACCATTTAACACCCCCAATATAGAGGTGGACATCAGTTCATGTTCAGTGTATTCTTTGCCTTTTGGATGTTTTTGGTGGTCTCTGTGGAGGGTCCTGAGCACAGAAAATTGGCCCCAGAACATGTCAATGTTGCCCACCCCGGGGCTTGATGGACCAGTAATCCATATGAGGAATCTCCTTTTGTTCTGATGACTCTTCTATTGATTGATAGTCCACAGTGTCATAATCTGTCTGACTGGCCAATTTTAGCCTGCTTTCAAAATGATTTCCTTGTTAGGTAGGAAGCACAAAGGACCCTATACTGTTTTCCTGGTATGTCAGGGTATGGCTTTCCAGGTGATAATTGCACTGCCATCATCCTTCACTGTTGGCTGTCCTGGCTTGGGATAATGGGAGCTACAGTCCACACATTCCCCAACCACCTGTTGTCTGATTTAAAATGTCTTTATCAGGCATAGAGCATAGTATTTTTATTTTGGAGGCAAAGATGGCTGCTTTGTTTGTCATAGGTTATTAAAAATGTATTCAGTCAGTTTTCTTTAGCCCTACGTACAGGAGGAGATCATACCAGCACTTGTGCCAGTTTTGTGAAGTCCACTTGTGGCTCATGTTCACTTACCGATCTGTTTGTTGCCAACAGGAAACGAAGTCCACAGCTCGGCAGTGCCTCCTCACCTTCGTCATCAGGTCTTTCCCTCCAGCCAGCATCTGGCTTCGGACTCCCAGCTTCAGGGACACCATCTCCCTACTTGACCTCTGTGAGTAGCTCCCATCTCTGTATGGGTAACAGGCAGAGCTTGGAAGAATAACTCCCCGGAATCCATGTTCCTGAAGCATTCTGCAGAAGTAGTCTATAGAAATCACCTTTCCAAGCTCTGCTGTGTCAATGCTGCTGAACCGTTTGCCAGAACTGAGCTTTGTGACCAATGCTACACACTAAGAAAAGTCACATCCCTTCCAGTGTCAGAGATAGCTTTCCTAGGTTTTTGTTCAGTAAAACACCTGACGTGACTGCCAGAATGTTGAACGAGGTTTTGCCCAGAATCAGAATGCCAGTAGAGAGAAGATCCATTGCCTTGGCTTTCGTAGGCCAAGGTGCCAAGAAACGAAGGTGTTTACCCTATACTATTCAGCGTGGCTGTGCTGATGTTTCAGTGGGGTGGTGACCTACATCTAAAGTTCTTTGTCCACATCCAGGATGGCCATCCCAGTGTCTTAAAGCTGCTAAGTTTGATAGGATAAACAGCAAACCACCCAACTTGGCCAGTATCTCTGTCCCACTATAGGTTTGTTATGAACACATGTCTCCCGCATAATTGTCCTAACTTGAAAGGCAAAGTTGATGTTGATTGTCTGTGTCACAGTTTCCCTGATTACTCCCCATTCTTCCCTCTATAGCCTCCTTTCCATCTCACTTCCATTCCACTTCATTATTTTCTGTTATAGCATTTGGTTTCAGTTAATAACAACAGGCAGAAAACTGAGTCTTTGCATTTCTTGGCGAGAGACAGTCTGACATGTTAGGGGAACAGAAGAACTGATAATATTGAAGCTTTATTTTAGATATTGCCAATAATGAAGAATTGTTAGTTGTTTGCACTCTTGGAAAAGTGATTCTCCCCCTCCCAGCTAGAATCTCTTGATTCTTAGTGAGCATGGCCATTTTGTCTGGGAGATTTTGGCAATTTAAAAAGTGACTTTTCCACACTTTGCATTTGTCTAAACAATGCAACGATACATGCTGTGTGTCTGTGAACTCAATTTGGTAGCTGTCTCCCTCAAAAGGAAAATGTCTTTGAAGGTCCATTTTTCCAAAAATGTTGACGAGTGATAACCCAAAGTGTTTAAGGGATGAGATGGCTTCATCTAACCAGGACAGGTTAAAATTTTAGGCACTTAGTTTAAGAAAAAATGAGTAAGGGCTACATAATAGAGATTTATAAATTTTTACCTTATGTGGAAAAAAAGAGAACAGCTGAAATCTTGTTGCTCAGTTATGCAATTGGTATAATTATTGGAACCAAATTGTAAGTTAAGAAATCTCCATAGACATTATTGGTTCTATACTGAGTTGTCTGACTCAGCATGCAACAGGTAATGGCTACAGAGATTTCTTAACTTGCAGCAATTTGTATCTAAAAGTTACACCGTTTTTGTAACTGTGCAACAGGATTTCAGCCAATGTTTCTTTTTAATTCTTCTTTCATAAGAGTAAAATTCAGGCAAGATCAGACAATGACATTGATTTAGCATAGATAAAAGACAGTGCTTCTTCACACACACAAAAGTGCAGTTATAGAATTTACTCATTAGTAGTTAGAAACATTATAATTTTTGGACTATAACTCCTAGAATTCTGGGAAGACTAGCCGGTTTCTAAGATTTACTAATAATGCAATGGCCACTAGTTTAGATAGCTGTAAAAGAAGGTTGGGTAAAGTCATTTTGTCAGAGCTTGGGAAAGTTAATATTTTGGGACTACAGCCCCCAAGAACTCTTTAGCCAGAATGACATTTGGAAGTTGGGCTTCAAAAAAAGTAATTTTGTCAAGTTTTCCTATAAACTACAGTAGCTAAATAGAACGTTCTGGTTCAAGAACAACGCACCACCTGGTACTGGTTGCTTGGGAGCTGTTGCCCTCTTGTCCTCTTATGTACTAGTCTAGATGGGCATTTCATGTGATTTAACAGATTTCTTCTCAAGATGTTTGTTCAGCCTTCCTCAGCCAAACTTCTTCCCAGATGTCAGATTATAACTCCCATCATCCCCAATCAGTGGAGCCATTGGCTATAGTGTCAGGGGTTAATGATTGTGAGCCATCGCAAGTGGAAGGATGCCAAGCTGGGGAAAGTGATTCCAGGTGGGAGCCCAGTTAGCCACCTGTTCAAGATTGTATGTGGTGGCTTCTTAATTTTTAAAAATTCTACTCCTCTTTTTGAGGGCTTACATGCTCATCATTCATACTTTGTTTTTTTATTCCATCCCTTTCTTCCGACCCCTGCCTTCCCCCCCCATCCAGCTGGCTTCACCCCCTTACGCTCCTTTTCCCTCTGACTACTTGGCGCTGGGGCCTGAGCCTGGGCCCCCCCAGAATGACAACAATGCTACTCGCTCTGCCCAGCGGCCCCCAAGGCCCCGCAAGCTCAAGGTACCATCAGGAATGTTTGTATGTGTGTGTACTTGTTTGGCTGGTAGCGGGGAGAGGACTCTCTGCATTTCAGAATATGTGAGTGAAATTTGTGGGTATGTCACAATCTTGGAATGTATGCCAGAGAATGAAATATGGGAGTAGATTTCAAGGTTACATTTTGGTGTGGGAAGAGGCAGAGGTTAGAAAAATTAGTTTTGTCGGTTGGAGGTTCTGACATCCAAAGAAAGTAGCTTTTCCAAACTCTGGATATAACTCAAAATGTACAGCGGTGCCTCGCTTGACGATGATAATCCGTTCCGTTCAAATTGCTGTTAAGCGAAATTGTCATCAAGCGAAAGTAAAAAACGCATTGAAATGCATTAAAAACCGGTTAATGCATTCCAATGGGTGAAATACCTCATTGTCCAGCGAAGATCCTCCATAGGGGAAGCCATTTTCAATCTCTGTCTTCCGGAAATAGGTCCGGAAAACAGCGGGAGGCCATTTTGAAAACCTGACGATCAGCTGTGAAGATCGTCGTGAAGCGAAAAATTGGGTCCCGAAGCAGGGAACCAGTTGTCATAAAGTGAACTTTCCCCATTGAAACATCGTTTTGCGATCACTATAGCAATCGCAAAAAACTCATCGTTAAGCGATTTCAGCGTCAAGTGGGGTAATCATCAAGCAAGGCACCACTGTACTCTATGAATGTAGATTAAATTAGTAGGATGTGTTATGCATTCTGTGCCCATGTAAATTTTACTGATTTTATAGGACACGGTAACATGAAATGGTCTTGCCAATCTGATGTTCCCCAGGTGTGTTGCATTTTAAGCCCCAGCCATGGCAGACACGCAGTAATAGAAATTGTAGTCCAACACATCAAGATGGCATCTGATTGGGGAAAGTTGGCATGCAAAAACAATGCATCCATACCACACCTTTGCACTATGAACTTAAAACTGAATTCAAGCCTCTGTGCTATCATGGCTTTTCTTGGCAGTTAAGTTGTTTAATTAGTGCAAAAGCTTTCAGGGAATGCCACTTTTCTTCATACCACACTTTTCTTCTTTTGGTCCTGGGGGGGAATTGTTAGGTGCACACCCTCAACAATATAATGCCACTTTATTGAACCAGAGATACTTTCCATAGGTGTTTGAAAAGAGAAAAAAGAGGGGAAAAGGCTGTGTATGATGTACCAGGTGCATCTCTCCTTCATCCTGATTCCCTTTCAGGTCTGACACTGCTGAGAGATATAGTGAGGTTTTGTCTGCCGCAGGTGTGAGAAGATTTAATTGGGAGTTCAGTTGAATTGCTGTGGGGTTTGATGGACCAAAATAACTACAGAGCTTGGAGAAGATCTGTCTTTCAATACAAATCCCTCCCAGCTAACTTTTGCAGCCTCTGCTACAGACCAAACACATTCTCTGTAAGGCAGGAATCGCACAGAGTTGTGGTATTTCAGCGCAGAGAGAGAAACATGTACTGCTTTCTCATGTGTGACGAGGGATTATTCGGGTCAGGAAAATGTGAACATGCAAAGGGCTTGTGTGGTTCTATATCCCACCCACATGTTTTCTCCTCTTTTTAATTGCAGCTCCCATTACCCCCCACCTCCCACTCTGACTGTTCGCCTGTAGTAGTGGGGTTGCCCTTCCCATCGCCCCGTGGGACCCCCAAGCTGCCACCACCCACCATCCTCAGTACGGTGCCCCATCAGATGTTCAGTGACACAGGGGAGGGAAGTGGCGAAGATCCGCTGGATGGTGATGATGAATTGGTAATCGACATTCCAGAGTGATAGTCCCAGGCAAGCGCACCTTATTTCAAGGACACAGACCTCTCAGTGGTGCATGAGGGGGATCATGCCCCGTAGTTTTATTTTTGTTTACAGACTCCAAAAAAACATGCAACTCAGTCAATAAATGGGATTTTTCTTTTGTATAAAAAGATTCTGGTTGCAATTGCTTTATCCACCTTCCTGACCATACATCCCCTAATCTTCTCTTCCGCTAAACCTTTTGAGCCCTTAAAAGAAATTGCCTCATATTAAGGCAAGAGGTTTCTTCCTGTCAATGTCCTTTACAAATTGTTCCGCTGAAAAATCCCTTCACAAAGGGATGTAAAGGAATCTCTCTCTCTCTCTCTCTCTCTCTTTCTCTCTCTCTCTCTCTCTCAGCTGAAGGAAGAAGGAAAAAAAATCCCTTAAAAGGCAGAGAACTCTTAAAAAGTGCTTGAATTCTCCTGGGGGAAAGGGTAATCCTTTTTAAGAGCCAGGAAAGAGTTGTTCCTTTTACATGTAAACATTAGAAGTCTAAGTGCTTCCAGGAAAAAAAAAGGTCTAGGTGCCGATTCACCAAACCCCACATGGAAATTCTTTTATGTAAAATGGAAACATCACCAGTATTTGACATCAATATTTTTATAAGATGGTTTCTAGCAGACACCCACATTTTGCTACTTGCTGCCCTGTTTTTATTATTGTTAGTATTGTTTTTGCTACACGTATTTATAGTGGTACTGTAATTAGATATTTAAACCATCTTGTGATCACGGATGTATGTGGAGTTGGGGAAGGGATATCTTTAGAAAGTGGATGAAAAGGAATGTAGCTTTTCACATCTGAATGAGTCATCAAATCCCAAGTTTTTGGCCAGTAGCAAGCAATTGCTTATTAATACAGATGGAAGACTCTGCCTCTCTGGAAGAGTTGATTCAAATCTTATCTAGCAAATGGGTTTGTCATGTTGGTACCATGTATTACATGGTGAACAACTGGATCATGTCTGAAGGGGAAATCAGCATATCTAATGGAAATGTCTTGGTTCCTGATGCAAAAGATTAATGTGGTGCTCCTTCCCCTTCCATAGTGGGGAAATAATAATTATATGCATGGTAAATGTTGGCTTGGTGGTACCACCAACTTGCTGTCCATCAGAAGGTATTTTCAGGGCCCCAAAGGGCCTGTAAACAATGACTGACATGGTCCTTCCTCTCTGACCCAAGTCCAGAAACTGCAGTATGAATCAGATGAATCTTCTCCAGAAGGAGTTATTAAAGGCACAACCGTAAACAGTTCCAATGAGAAACAAAGCCGGAAACCATCTACAAAAGCACAAAAACACAAAAGAACTTAAACACATAGTAATGAACTTAAAAAGGTATATTTAGAATAATTATAGAAAAATACTTCCAACTCATAAGGATGGTCTCAGGAAGGCTAGAACTCAGAATGAGCAGAAGCTGGCCCAGAGCAAAAAGAAAAAGAAAAAAAAGAGGTGTCAAATAGGTTTGAAGGAAGAGGAAAATGGCACAGAAATTGTAGATCTACTGCTTAGTAAGGATAGTTAAATTATTAATGCATGTCAAATAAAGTTCCAAATTGGTTAGTTCCTTTGTGCCATCTTCTCCCAAAGAGGAAACCATGTGCAATGTCAGATTGGTAGCACAATTGGTGAGGGTATCAAGGATTGCGGTTCCAGACTGATAATGAGTTAGTTGGGAAATACTCAAGGTTTAAGGACGAGATGAATTGCATCCTAAAAATACTAGAGGAACATTGTTGTAATCTTAGAATTTCTGTCATCTTTGAGAAGTCCCAGAGAATAACTGAGGTGCCACAGGATTGGAGACAGGTAAAAGTTGTGCCTGTCTTCAAAAGTGGGAAGAAAGAGGGCTTGGAACATTTCAAGATGGTCATTCTGGCCCATCACAGGGAAGATGGTGAAGGAATGAAGATGGGTACAACTTGACAACAATGCAGTGATAAGTAGAATTTCTTCTTGACAGGTCAAAGCTAATGCTCGCTCTCTTAAACACATAGTAATGAACTTAAAAAGGTATATTTAGAATAATTTTATTGGGTTGTTGGCCTTGTCCAATTATGGGAATAATTGATTTATCTTGATTTTATAAAGCATTTAACAAGGCCTCCTGTCATATTTCGGTTAGCAAACTAGGGAGGGCCAGATGATACTAGTGTCAGGTGGAGTCACTGCTGATAGGAATATTGTATTCAAAGATTTGACCCTAATGGTCTTCTATAAAGTTAGACAGACATTTTGTGTAGGGTGTGCCACTCCCAATACTCTTCAAGATTGTGGCTTAGGTGAAGGGATGGGAAGCATCATCATCAAATTTGTAATGGAGAGTTAATGAACACCTCAGAAAGCAAGGATAAGATTCAAAATGAACGGAAAACTGGGCCTAAATGAATGAATTGAATTCAGCACAGACAAATGAAAAATTGTGCATTAAGGAAAAGAAACCATAGTCAAATGTTCCAGTATGGGACTGACTATAGCTAGCTTGGCAGCAATACATGTGCCAAGGAACTTTGGACTGTAGCTGACCTGAAACTGAACAAGAGTTTGCAGTGGGTAATGACTGAAATCAACAACAAAAAGCTGGTGTGATTTTAGTCTACATGAACAGAACCATCATTTTGCAGTCACAAGAAGTAATAGCTCCACTTCGTTCTCCACTACTGGCGTCTCTTCCAGAGTCCTGTAGTGTATCCCATTCCACACTTTAAGAAAGATATTGGCAAATTTGGAACTGTTTCAGAGGAGGGCAACAAAAATGGTCAAAGATACGAAATGCTAGGAAGAGGTGAAGAAATTAGGCATGTTTTGCTTGGAGAAGAGAAAACTGAAGTTCATACAGCAGGTTTCTTCAGAAACTTGAACGGCTGTCTCAGAGAAGGACAGCAAAGACTTTCTGCTGCTCCAAAGACAAAAATAGGCTTAGTGAGCATAGGTGGGAGGTGGATTTGGTAAATTTAAGTTGAAGAGTTCATAGATCTAGTAACTGCACTTAAATAATAGTCTTGTACTAAGAGTGGTTCAACCATTATTGGAATCAGTGACTTAGACTGGTTTTGCCCCTTACTTGGAAGTCTTCAAGAATAGACTGAACAGCAGTTACTTCAGGATATTTGAGTTCCTGCAGCAAACAGGTGGTTGAACTCAATAATTTGCAGAAGTTACAAAATTTACTTTTCTGGACCACAGCTCTCAAAATCACTAGTCAGCATGGCAAGAAGTTACTTTTTTTTTGGACTCTTAACTCCCAGGTCATCCCCATTCCATGCCAACTGGTGTTTTCTGGGAGTTGGGAATACCAAAATATAACTTTTCCTAGCTTTGCTTACACTCTTTTCACTCTTACTACAAGAGGTCTCCTTCTATTAAGTGCAATTATTAGATATATGAACTCTTCAACTTAAATTTACCAAATCCACCTCCCACCTATGCTCACTAAACCTATTTCTAACTTCATGATTCTGTGAAATTTTGACCTCTTTCTCCTGAAAAGTTATAAGTTCTTAACCTCTGCTAGAGCCATCATTTCTGATAGAGGCAGGAGCAAAACTGGGCAGCTCATTATGGCACGGCCACAATATTTTTCACAATATTTTTTAACATTGTTTGCCAGAAAAGAGACTTCACAAGAGTTCAAAGTACAAGCAGCTAAGTTAGTGTGCCTTTTAACACAGAGAGTTAGTGGGAAGAAGTGTGCCAGATGGAAGCCCCTTAAATCTATGCAGGAAGCCAAAAGATGGACATTTTAAAAAAATAGTCCAGAACTGCAAATTGCATATATCACTCTAAAGTTAATACAGTATGAGCAAGGTAAAAGGAATGGGTATGCAGATCAGGAAATGAGACACACTGAGTTACAGAAAAGAAACTTTAGAATGAGATATGGGTTTTGAACTGCATTTTTGATCTTTTGCATCTTTTTTTTAAATTGTCAAATAATTGGTATTTTGCCTTTTGAAGTCCAACCAAATGCTTGGTACAAAAGTTGTGGCATTTTAGAGCTAAAGTCAGCTTGGTAAAATACCCTGGGGATGCAGCAAAAGGAGAAATCTGTAGAGAACAAGGGTAATTATTGTGATTTTTCTTTGATTTGAATGTGTTTGTTTTTCTGAAGAAGGGGCAAACACTTCCCCACCCATTGTTCCTCCATTGCCTCTTCCACACTTCCTTGCTGCTCCTCAGCTCCCCACCTCCCCGCCACGGCTCAACTTAGCATAGCAAACCAGAAGAGGGACAGCCTCTGCTGAAGCCCTTCCCTAGAGCATAATATAAACGAACACCAATGACAAGTAACTTTGAAAACGTGCAAACGTCCTCGTGCAAAGGAGGGGTCCTGGTGCTGTGCCCCTCCCTGTTGTTTTTGTTGTTTTTTGGCAGGCAGGCAGGGAGGTTGCTGTTTTATAGGCAACTGAAGACAGAATCTCAGGGACCAAATGTAGATGATTCTGGGAGCTCATTGGTGAGTGTGTGCCAGTGCTCAAAGCGGCAGTCAGGGGTCTGAATGCAAGATAGCCAATGCTGTCGACATTCTCCAGTGGTCCCCAAACCAAGGGTCATCCCACCTGCAAAGAAAGGGAAAAGAGATTCTTATGGTTTCCAGATACAGTGGTGCCTCGCTGGACAGTTACCCCGCATGACAGTTTTTTCCGCTAGACATTGACTTTTTGCGATCGCTATAGTGATTCGAAAAACAGTGATTCCTATGGGGGAATTTCGCTGGACAATGTTTGGTCCCTGCTTCGCAAACCAATTTTCACTAGACAACGGTTTTGACAGCTCCCTCCATGCTCTCAAAACGGGTGTTTTCGGGACTTAAGCTTCGCAAGACAGCTATTTAAACAGCTGATTGTTTTTTTTGCAAAGTGGCTTTCCTATGGCCGATCTTCGCTAGACAACGACAATTCTTCCCCATTGGGACGCATTAAACAAGTTTCAATGCATTCCAATGTGGAAATGCTTTTCGCTAGACGATTTCGCTAAACAGCGATTTCAGTGGAACGGATTATCATTGTCTAGCGAGGCACCACTGTACCACAAACACCTTCTGTTAAGTTCCCGTCTTTCCTGCAGTGCAGTGACCCCCTCAAATCGTGGATATATTTGCCCTCTAATCCAGTTTATAAGACCTTCGTTATCATGCTTCTCCTCCCTTTCCCCCTTCCCAAACAAATGCTGGCAGCTATTGTGATATTACTGTGAGATCTGTGTTTTACACTACATATGAAATTACACCTTACCTCTGGGTAAGATTGTGTGATTATTAAAGCTTTTCAGCCTGTGACATAGGCATACCCAATGCCTCCCCACTAGGCTTCTCATCCACATCATGTGCCAAGCAATGCTGTTTGTTCTCACCAATGAAGTCATTGGATTTCCCAATGTCGTAGTCCCAAACTGTTATCTCCAGGGATTTCTGGCCAAGATCTGACTGCTCAATCTCGTAGAAAAAGTCCTATAGTTGGTCAGGGAAAAACTATGGTTATAAGCTGGAAGATAAAACTAATTATCTCCCCACTCCCTAGCGCTCAAATACTAGCTTCTTTTCCCAAACCATGCAGTTCACTTCACTTGTTCTCCTTAATGTACCTCGTTATATTCTGGGTTCAGTGTCTTCTTTTTCACACTTGTTTTGTGCTTTGACTTCTTCTCTACATCTGGCTTCAGGTACCTGTCAGGCAGACAAAATTAAATTATCTATAGTCAGTGTAGCCTACCTGTCTTTTTTCCTTCCCTCAAAAATACTGAAAGCAGCTAACAATCCTTAATGTTCTGTTATCATGAAGATCCACAGTCTATCCTAAGCTCAAAAGCCTGAAATCAACATTACGTTGGATCCAGAGTAGGATCCTTGAAATAAATTTGGCAAGAAGACCTGACTAAAGTCCCATGGATTTCAGTGAGTATTCTCTTAGTATGACTTAAGTCTGAATTTGAATCATAGAAAAAACAAAGCAACTGCAACAAATTGGACATCTTAAGGAAATTCTAGTATTAATTTAAAAAAAACACACACAGAAAAGCTTTCCTAAATGGAAAAGATTTTATATCGTCTTTTGAATGCCTAACAGGTAGACAAAAATGGTCCAGTCCCAAAGAACAGAATTGAAGACTTTCATTTGATTCACAAGTCTTGAGAGGGGGATGAAGACCCTGTAGCCCACTAGCCCTTTCACATGCTTCTCCCAATCCACATTGTTAAAGGTAGCCACACTGAGGAAGGTTAAAAAGGTTGCAATGTGGAACTGGGCCTTCTTAGCAGCGGCTCCTATTCTGTGGAAGAAACTTCCAACTAAGATGTGCCAGGCTCCATCCCTTATGATATTTAGGAAATTAGTTACAACGCAACTACGTAAAGCAGACATTAAGAGTGTATTCCCAAATGCTATTCATGTTAAATTTTGATCTTTTTCTTTTTTACTAAGTGTTTCAAGTTAGTATATCTTCATATTGACTGTGTTGGTATATGGGGGTGGAACTGGGGTGGTGGTGGTCATGGTTTTGTGTTTTATTCTCTCAGAATAGTGTGTGTTCACTAATGGGGCAGTATACAAATCAAATCAATCAGTTAATAAATGTTGTTGAACTAGAACTCACATCATCTACCAGTATGTTGATGGGGCTGGTGGGAATTGCAGTCTAAGAATATTTAGAAGGCCAGACGTCCTCCATCCATGCCTTCAAAAATTGGGAATAAGCTAAGCACCTTTTGCTCTTCATTGATCCCAGCGTCCGTTAGCTGCTTGTAACACGTGCTAGCCTTAATCACAACTAATGCTAGCAGGTATTAACAACCCCCTCATCCACCTATTGTGATTTTCTTACGCTTTCACATAAGGGTCCGAATAGCCACACACATCCATGGCAGCTAAGTGTGCACAGCGCAGGATAGACACCACTAATCCACGGCGTTCGGTGAAGTAGGTGAGAGCAAGCAGAATGCGACCCCTTTCTTCCAGGGCCCAGCCGGCTGGAGGTTCTAGCTGCATAATGGAAAGAACATTAAATGTTTTTATGTGAAATATCTGCTTTCCAGCCTTCTCAAACAAGTGCGTTTGCTGTACTCCCATTCTCATATCCTCTCCAACATTGTGGTAAAGATTCCTACTAGTTGTGGGTTGTTTGGGGCCATCAAGTGTGTACTGAAGCACAGCATGTGGGTTTTGTATTTAACACATTAAAAAAGGCAACCTTGCCCAGTCCTATCCAGTCTGTGATACTTTTGACACCTCGGCTGAAATATTTAGAAGCCTCTCGCTCAGCTTCACACTCTCTGAGCCTAATGGGTCTGCCTCATCCCTCCCCTGTGGCTTGTCTGGCTTCAGCTGGGAAGCTTTTGGAATGGTTTATTTTCCACTGTTGCCCAGGGCTTTTATGTGACCTAGGAGTTTGTGACTATCTGTGGCCCTTGTCTAGTTTTGTGCCAGTGGAGGGAGAGAAGGAGGCCAGGAAGAGGGCAATAGGTTTGTTGGAGGGGGTGTAGTAAAAAAGGAGGGAGGCTCTGAAACCTCTTGCAAGAATGATTTCCCCCCTCCCCTAGCAGTCTGCTGGATGGAGGGAGGATGGGTGGCAGATTGAGAGGGAAAAAGTGTGATGTAATGGTTACAGCACTGGATGTGGATTCAGGAGATACGGGTCCAAATACTCACTTGGCCATGAAACTGACTGAGTGACCCTGAGGTAGCCACAGTCTCTCAGACTGCACCAACCTCAGAGGATTGTTGTGAGAATAAAGGGAGGAGGAGGAGGCTAGCTGCGTATGCTCCCTTGAGCTCATTGGAGAAAGAAAAGGGTATAAAATAGAGCATGTGATTAATAAATAAGCAAAAGAGGGTGCCTAGCCCACTTTTGGGTCTGCCCCTGCCTGCTGCTGGCAGGTAGCGCTCAAAAAGTTGAAAACTTTTGTTGTAGAAGTTCCGCCACCTGCAGTCTATAAGCCTTAGTGAAGAACAGGAATCTCCTCACCTCTCTCAAATAACAGGAGATTCCACGTAGAGCTGCTGTCATGGATGAAGGGGATGCCAGCTGTTAAGGAAAAAGAGAATTTGGTACCACCTGCTCCCCTGATGTTCTAAACACAAACTCTAGCAAAGTTGGAGGAACACAGAAGGAACCCTGTTGACCGATAAACAAAATTAGGCCAATTTTATAAAAGGCACAACATTGTGCGCAAGCTTCTTGGATCAGTACGTGTATCCCTTTGTTAGCGTTGGCATTACAAAAGGCAGAGTGGGAAAGGGATAGGCAAAGGGAAGGGAAAAATAATATTGTTATATGTTGTCAAGTCACCTCTGACTTACGGCGACCCTAAGAATTCTCCACAATGTCCTGTCCTCAACTGCTCTGCTCAATTCTTGTAAAGGAAAACAGTTGATTTCGTATTTGGTCTTACTCTTTTCCTGCTGCTTTCAGCTTTTCCCAGCATTGTTGTCTTTTCCAGACAATCTTGCCTTCTCATGATGTGCCCAAGATAAGACAGCCTCAGTTTCTACATTTGTGCCTCCCAAGATAATTCAGGAATGATTTAATCTAGGACCCACTTGTTAATGTTTCTGGCAGTCCAGGGTATCTGCAGAGCTTTCCTCCAGCATCACATTTCACATGAATCATTTTTTCCTGTCACCTTTTTTCATTGTTCAGCTTTTACATCCATACATGGTAATGATCTTGGTCTCTGGTGACACATCTCTATACTTTATTAACTTTTCTAATTCCTTTATTGTTACCCTTCCTAGTCTCAGTTTTCTTCTGATTTCTTGGCAGAGTCTCCATTTGGATTGATCATTGAACCAAGGTACAAAACCTCTAATTTTCTCCATTGTCAATGTTCAACTTGTGTAATTCTGTGCTTATGATTTTGGTCTTCTTAACGTTCATCTGCAATCCTGCTTTGGCATGTTATTTCATTTTTCCCAAGAAGTTCTTCCAGACTCATATACATCAGTCTGAGATTTGACTAGGAAGCCTTCACACTTTGCAGCAAACTAGTTAAGTAACAAATCAAACAGACAAACAAATGTACATATGCTCAAAACAGGTTACTTTTCATGAAACTGCACTGCAGCATGCCCATTCACAAAACTGCCTTGGAATATTCACAGTCATTCCAACATTTCAAGAAGAAGAACTAGTTTTGGAATACTGACAGTTGGCAGAACGAAGAAAGCAGCAGATTAGTTTGGGTGAAAGGTTGCGTTTACATAACCTTGATAGGCTCAAAGCTCACCGGCTGTTGTCGTTCCAAGCACAAGTTAAAATGTCGTTTCTGACCAGGTCGAAGACGTCTGAGAGGTACCCGGGTCTCTCCAATAAACTCATTGTGGGTCAGTTTATCCTCATCACACACAGAGATTCTGAGAGGGAGAAAGGAAGAGGATGAAAGGAAGGAGCACCGGGACAGCAAAGGAAACAATGAGGGAGAGGGTTGTTAAATTATGATTTTAAGTAGGGTGTGGGTCATATCTCACCGCAGAGTTTTCCGGGCCATGTCCTCTGCTGTTATCCCATTGTATGTTAGAGACTCATTCCATATAGGGTTGAGAGTGTTGTGCTGGGTTCGTGTTTTCAGTTTGTTCGCCTGGAGAGGGAAAGGTATAGGGTAGAAGAGGAATTGGAATGAAAGAGCAGACTGTTAGTAAGGCCTGAGATTTGATCCAAGGCCTTGTCTTAGCTGTTGTTGGATGGGGAGGTGTGTCTTCTGCCAGTTTGGCACTCTCCTGCAGAGGTGCTGGACTCTCAACTGTCATTGTCCAGAGAAAGCATGCCCCTTGCTACATGAACTGCCGTCCAGCACATCAGGTTAGTGCAAGCTCGTCTAAGAAGTAAGCAACAAGGCTCTTCTTGAATTCCTCTCCCTCCCCTGAAGTCGATAAACAGAGGTGTGCATCTTCAGGGTGCTCCTGTCCTCTGAAGATGCCAGCCACAGAGACTGGAGAAATGTTAGGAAGAACAACCTTCAGAACACGGCCAAAGAGCCCCAAAAAACCACAACAACCATTAGATCCTGGCCATGAAAGCCTTCGCAAATACAATTTATTATTTAGCTTTTAACATTATTTCTTTTAATACTATAAGCCACTTTGGTTAACAAACAAACGGGAGCTGTAGATAAAAACATCTGGAGAGCAACAGTTTGCCTACCCCTTTCTTAAAATCATAGTTACTGGAGCTACCAGCATATCCTGTGCTGCCGAATACAGAATGTCCTGAATATGCTGCCAACCATCGGATGCACTGGCCCATAACTTACTTTGGACTACAACTGTTAGAACATTCTTTGCCTCCCCACCACCACCACATGCATGTACAATCATGGTACATTTTTCTGTACTCCCCACTTGTCTTTCCTTTTGCACTTCTCTCCCCCCTTTGGTTCCTATATATCCACACTGTTTTTACATACCCCATTTTGTTTCGGGGCCGAAAAACCCAAACAAAACAAAGGTCTTCAGAATTTGTTTGTGGCAGCACCATTGGGACGTGTGTACCTCTTCTCCACATGTACCATTTCCCCCAGATTAAATTACACACTCTCATGCATCAAAGCTGCTATTAGAGCCACTGGGGAAAAAATAAAGTAAGTACAGTACCTGTATTTTCCCCCAGTGGGACTAATAGTAGCTTCAGGGCCTGCAGGAGGATTTTGATTGAGAAAACACCAGTGGAGATTGGGGAGAGAGTTAAATCACATGCTCCCCAAGTTACTCTGATAATAATCAAATCTCTGTTTCTTTAGAGTGCATCATAACAACAAGAATAAGAAATTGGGAGTTAGAATCAGAAATCTCCCTTGTCGCATCTTTTGTTTTTTTTTTTCTTTTTGAAGGAAGTTGACTTCATCGGCCAGGAGCTCACAACCTTGTTTAAAAGTTTAAGTAATCCTTGTGAAGCTACAACTTACATGGTAGGAAATGCTGGATCATTCATTACAAATACAGGCCTTTTAACAAAACTTGACCATTCTTTTTAGCCCGACTCGATGCTTCTGTACCAAGAGGAAACGAAACCCTACCTGACAGTAGGGGGAGGAGGAGGAACAAGCACCCCCCATCCCATTGCTCGCCACCCTGTGATTACTTAAAGTAAAAGCACTTTTTACATACTCTGAGTGCTTCTCTATATTACTGTCAATCAATACATCCCCAAGCAATGCTGCTTACTTGGAAGTTCACTCCCTCAGAATCAATATGAATTACTTCAGAGAAAATATTTTTTGGATGGGACCAGTGATGTGAAATATACTGTAGTGGAGAATTCTTAATCTGTGAAACAAAGCTCATGTACATCTCCTGCAGCTAGAAATGTCCCTTCCATGCCCTCCCCAGTATTTTTTTCTTGGCTCTGCCACTGCTGTTACTCCCGTTCAATAGATAGGGAGACTAGAATTGATTACTCTTCAGGTGGTTACATACTGGGGGCTACTTCACTGAGCCTTGTGTCTGTACAAATCAGATTTTGTTAGGCCCAGGGAATGAGGCAGGGGCATCAATAGGATAGAAATCGAAAACAATGGTTACCTTACAAGCCCCTGGCAGAAGATGCAGTTTGACATAGGGATCAGCCAGGCCATTAAAATCCATTGGCTTCAGCCCCTAAAAACAGAAAGAGAAAGATCCTTTACTCCTTGTATGTAGGCACTTAGTTGAAACCTATGAGGATTTTCCCCTCACATTTCCGGTCATATATTACTTTTGTGTGTGTGTGTGTGTGTGTGTCTGTGTCTGTGTCTCAAGGCCGCTGCGCACAATGAAACATTCCTGCACTCAAGTAGAAAGTGGTATGACAGGATAAATCCTCATGCCATGATGACTTTATGTGTGATGTTTGTATCGCATGCACCATAAATGCATTTATGTCCAGGTTTCGTCCTCACGTCAACCGAGAATTGCCTGTGGTGAGCCGTGGGCTATTGTTTATTTCTGTTGACAGACTTTGAGGTGAATAATACCATATAGAAATAGAAACCATTGTAACAAGAATTAAAACACAGCCAACAGCAAAGCAGACAAATAAAAATGCAACAAAGTCTTGAAGTATGTGCTGTGTCTATAAGGCCCAGTTGGTGGTGGGGAGGCAGACAGGAATCGATCACCTTCCAGATACTATATTCCTATCAGTTGCAGTTAGTCTGGTAATGGCAAGAGAAGCAATTCAACATCTAGAGGCCCACATATTGCCCACACTTGGCCTAATGTTCAACTTTATATGTAGGTTTTTAAAAAGTAAATATTCCTTAATTGTCAGAAACAAGCAGCAAATTAACCTGGCAGTGAATCTCTGTGAAGGACATCCCAAAATTTAGGTGTCACAACCAACAAAGCCCTGCCTGGTATTCCTTCTCACTGTTTATTTTTTAATTACCTGTCTTGGCAGGGGGTGGAGGACAAGAAAGTTGTGGAGCAGAATGCAAAAGGAGATGATCTGGAGGAAAGTGGCTTGTTTTTAGATTGTTTTGGGGCTGAAGGGTTAAGACTACCATTTGAAATCAGCTTTGGAGATGAACTAGGACCTCTCATAAGTTGATAAACCATGGAAGTAATATGCTCCGAGTATCTCGCAATCAGCAAAAACAAAAACAACATAGTGTAAATTTACACCAATGGTGTCATCATCTGGCACTGGTAAAATTTGATTTAAATTAATTGAAAGCTTCCTATCCCCACCCCACCCCATTTCAGGTTCTGAGGCTCCCTAGTGCTCCCCTTCCCCCCCAGGGAGCCTCAGGATAAGGGAGGGGGGAGGAAACCTTAACAGTCAAAAATCATCATCATCAGATTACCCACAGGACAACTAACAATCCAGCAGCAAATTTTAGCTACTAAACAGCCCCACCCCACCCCATCTTGAGGCTCTCAAAGAAGGAAAGGGAACTCCGGAGACCCTGAAATGGGATAAGAAGTTTTGAAGCAATTTCAATTAAATTTTACCAGTGCTGGATGATGACCTCAATTAGTTTCTACATATATAAATTTAAGACAGTCAGATTTTGTCCATTAAATGATAAACTGACCATAGCATTCTAGACACTCTTCACAGGCAGCCTTGTGTTGCAATTATAATCCACAATTAGAGCAGGGCTGTGATCTAATAGCACAGGAAACGCAGAGGACAGGCTTTTATTGAATATGTGGGGAATTTTCTACAGTTTGGACAGTTACCCTCTTGATACAATACTTATAGATACACCACTTTTCCTTTGTTTATGGGCACAAATGCTTGTGACTAAAATAAATTGCTCTCAATCTTGGAACTGTTTGTCCTATTCTTTTTAATGCTGTTCAGAACTGCTGCTGGAACATCCAGCTAAATTGGCCTAATTGAAGAACTGCCAATGGGGGTAATAGCACTTCCAGTCATAAAAGAAAAAAAATAAAATAAAAACAAGCCGAGCCATGCAGATACACCCTAAACGAGCCTTCTGCAATCTGGTGCTTGTCAGAGGTGTTGCAGTACTGCTGCTTGGAGGGTTCTGGGAGTTATCGTCCATTGCATCAGGACAGTGCCAGGGGTGCAGAAACCTGTCCTAAGCTGTCCCATGAGTAAGCCCAAAGGTTGGCAAACTAAAGATACAGAAAGGAAGGCCTATGACTTAAGATGAATTCTCCATTGTGTGGGGGAAAGGGATGCAAGGTGAAGCAATGGGGTGTGGCAACGGCTGTGAAGAAAGATGGGAGAAGGGACAGCATTACTTTTTGCTGTGGTTCCAAACTGCCGCATTGTTTCCCTTGCTTTCCTCCCCTCCCTCCTCTGTTGCCATGGCAACCTCGGATGCCTGCGGATACCCGGTTGCCTGGCGTGTAGCCGAGGTGCTTGAAGATGCTGCAAACCTACTAGCTGGGAAGGAAAAGGGGGTTATGCATTTGTTAGCATGTATAGGAGGGTAGGGGTTGCGCAAACATAGGCACCTGAAAGCCAAGTCGTGGGAAGGCATGAATGGGGATGGGGGAGCTGTCTTTTAATGAGCCCCTTTGCCTTTTGTAGGCTTGGAGGTAAGAAGGGGCTGAAAGCAGACGAGGAGGAGGGACATAACGTACGGAAATGAACAGTGCTGCTTCTATAATGAGATTTCCCGTCCCTGAGTGACCTCGTTTATTAAATCATGTCCCTTTGCTGTAGAAACAACACTTGCAATGCAGAAAGGCTGCGGGTTTGCATTGAAAAGGTGTGAACGGCGTAGTTGGGGTAGCCGCAAAATTGCATGTGTTTAAGGTGCTGTGGGGTGATCACAGTTACCTTGGCCCGAAGGATGGTGCAGTCAAGGGTGCAGCTTTCTGGATCATAAAGGATGTCGAATTCGAGGGTCCCAAGGGATGCTAGGAAAAGGCCAGGTGTCAAACAGAATGGAACAAAAGGATCAATCAGTCTGTGTTTCCATCCAAGCTTCTTTCTCACTCTCTTTCTCATCACTCTCACACAATCTGCCTGCATGCTCAGTTTTATCCATCAGTTCTTATACTGTATTACCTGTCTGCACGTTCCCCTTGCCTCTACCCTCCAAGTCTATATAGGTGTGTTTGGATATCTACTACTACTAATCAGATGTGTGTACTCTGATACAGGGGTGAGTCTCCCCAGAATTTAAGGGACAGAGGGTGGGCATTCCTCCCCCCGAGAACTCTGATCACAAGTTACTTATGCTTTCCTTTTTAAACAAACTTACCAAAGGCTTCCTCTGTCTGAGACATAAACCAGTATAGGTACCAATACACTTGTTTCTAGCATGTTGCTTCTACTTTAAGGTGACCCTATAAATTTGTTGTTGTTGTTAAGTCGTGTCCGAGTCTTCGTGACCCCATGGACCAGAGCACGCCAGGCCCTCCTGTCTTCCACTCCCTCCTGGAATCGGGTCAAATTCATGTTGGTCGCTTCGGTGACACTGTCCAACCATCTCATCCTCTGTCATCCCCTTCTCCTCTTTCCTTCACACTTTCCCACCATCAGGGTCTTTTCCAGGGAGTCTTCTCTTCTCATGAGATGGCCAAAGTATTGAAGCCTCATCTTCAGGATCTGTCCTTCCAGTGAGCACTCAGGGTTGATTTCCTTCAAAATGTGTAGGTTTGTTCTCTTTGCAGTCCAAGGGACTCTCCAGCACCGCAATTCAAAAGCATCAATTACTCGGTGGTCAGCCTTCTTTATGATCCAGCTCTCACTTCCGTACATTGCTTCTGGACCCTATAAATAGTGAATTTCAAAAGGTCTTGTCATTAGCAGCTTTGCTCAGCTCTTGCAAATTAAGGGCTGTAGTTTCTTCCTTCAATCAATTCATCACTTATTTGGTCTTCTTCATTTTGTGTTGCCTTCAACTTTTCCTCAAATTATTGTCTTTTCCAGTGAATCTTGTATAAGGTTTTTAAAAATTCTTTGTATAACAGGTTTAATCTTGTATAGAGTTATTTGAAAATCAGGCATTGCTGTCATGCTTCTTAATGACCATAAGGATTAGGAACAGAATTGATGTTTTTGTTGTTTGTTTTGATTTGACTGGAAATGAATGTTTTCAGGATGCTGGATTTTGGTTTTGCATTGAGAGTACAATCCATTTGGGAGTATGGGCATTGTATGGTGCAGAGTTCCTGGGCTCAGACAATGCCACACATTCTTTCTTCTCTCTCAAAGCACATCTAGGGGACCTGAAAATTGCCAGGACACTTTCATTCTGAAAAGGTGAATCTTCCCTCTGTATTCCTTTACTCCATCTGCCCCCATCCAAATTGAATCTACTGCTTTTCTAGGGACACCATTTGTTAAAAGCAAAGGTCCTGAAGTTGAACGTTGGCTAAAGGACAAGTCCTCTATACTTGGAAGCCGTATTCTGTAATCTTGGGTTCCTTGTGTCGCATTGTGTTTGTCTGGTGGTCACCAGATAGAGTTTTGTTAGAGCATTTCAACAATGGAACCAATTAGCTTGCAAGGTGATGAGTGCTGGAGGCATTCAAGAGACAATTGGACAGCCATCTGTCCAATCTACTTAGATTTAGATTCCTGTATTGAGCAGGGGGTTGGACATGATGGCCTTATAGCTCCCTTCAAACTCAATTGTTCTATGATTCTATGCTGCAATATACTGCCATTGCTATAACTCCATACATTCTAGAGCAGATACCTGCCATGCAAAAAAAACAAAAACAAAAACAAAAACACCACCTATGTACTTCCTAATGAACACACAATGATTGGAGTTCAATTCCCAACTATCATTTGTCCATCAGTTCCACAGACAAATCCTACAGACAGATGAGTTATGTGCACATCCAGTCTATTCATGATTCATGTCATGCGTGAGAATGGTTTCTCAGATGGCATGGACATAGCCCTGCATGCAGCAGAAAACATGCACAGGTAAGGTCTGTGCAAAGCGAGTTAATGAACACAGGGAGGTCAGGAGGAAGGAATGCTACATGATTCCAGTACCCCTTCCTACATTCAGTTCTCCTGCACCTTTAACAGATCAACAGGGCTTATTTATCAAACCGCACCACTACCTACACTTTCCTCTGTTTGTGCATTCTTCCATCAGGAGCAAGATGCACACTTGCTTGTATTGGTTTCCAAATTGATTTCTGTCACTCTGCATAAACCTACTTGCTTGCCTGAACATTTATCCAGCTACCCCCTCCCTCCCTTCATCCATCCATTCACCCCTCTGCCCTGTCTTCCTTTCTGTCTCTCTCCTTCCCTCTGTTCCTCTCCTTCCCTCCCTCCCATCCATTAATCAATCTCTCCCTGTCTTTTAACCCTCCCTCCTGGGGGTCCATCTATGGGTTTGTGTGTGAGTGATGAGTGTGTGCAGTGTGGGAGAGAATATGAATTTTGTTTCTCTCCTTTGGCAGGCTGTTGTGTCAGCAAGGGTGTGAGTTTGTGTGGGTTTGTTTTTGTTTAAGGGGAAGGCTGAGTGAGCATTTGTATGTGTGAGTTTGTCCTCTGACGTGTATGTTCCTTTTGTCTCTTTAGGAGTGAAATATTGTGTGTTCTCGCTACCATATTACTTGGAGACTGCTCGTATTGTGGTGCACATAACGTACATAGGTGTGTGTGTCTGTTACAGTGGTGTTCTTGTGTGTTTCCTTAGGAGTGGTTACTAATGGTACTTATGCTAACAATATCATTTTTTCTGTGAGTGTTTGACATCCAGGATGGAACATAAGGACTCTGTACTGGCCCAAGATATTTCACTGCCTGAAGTGGAGTTCAAACATCACCCTGTTGCTGCTAGGATCAACACTTTGAAATATTTTCCTCCACCATTTGGGCATCAGTTTTATCTTTATTTGTTTTCTTCCCCTTGTAAGGCCACCTGAAACAGATGACTTCACTCTCTTCTATGTAAGGACTGCTCTCCTAAGCCATAAAAGCCCAACCAGGCCAACATTCTACCTCCCAGGGTGGCCACCCAGATGCCTCTACGAAATTGACAAGAGGGAAACAAAAGCAACAATCCTTTCCTACTCTTCCTTTTCCAGCCACTAATATTCAGAGAACTGCTGAAGCTGAAAGATCTATGTAGCCAATTTGACTTGTAAAACAACCCACACTTGAGGGAAATGCATATTTTTTCTTAGTACAGAATTTTCCTTCCAAAGACACAGTTCAAAATACAGTCACACTTGCAAATGGAGCTCATGTTTACTTCACACTGACTAATCAGAAAACCAAAGCAAGTTAATTTGTGACGTACACAGTGTGGCAAACCTAAACTAGAACTATCATATACCACTTATTACATCATGGGGCTTTGCTTCTAATGACACGGAAAGTACAAAAATCTAGTTTAGTCCCCACCCTCTATAACAAATGGTTGGATTCACATGTAATCTTTTATCACTCTGCCTACAATATTCTGACATGTCCTGTGGCCTCTTTGTTTGTCAAGCATGTGGAAAGAATTTCTACACGCAAGGTCTGCTTCAAAGATCATGAAGCCCCAGCTGTGTTTTGGTCTGTGCTTTGTGTGGGTGGGGTTTGTGTGTATATGTGCATTTGTTTCCGCATTTGTGTGTATGTTAGATTCTCTGGTGTGTTGACAGGACTGTGGGTGGGTGATAATGTCAGAGAGTAGGGTTGCTGTGCAGGGGAGTTGTGACAATAGGGCAGCCTGGGTATCATATCACATAACTCTGTGTGTGTGTGTGTTTCTGTTCCTAAAGGCAAATGTTCCAAAGTCTTTGACTTCATGAACAAAACAAAACAAAATTGCTGATGAAAAATGATGCCTTTGCAACTGTCTATGCACACATATGAGAGAAAGAAGATATAAGAGAAACTCTAGTTTATCTAGGTAGGTAACTGGTCTTGGAGTGCCTCAAATCCTGGCCTGACTCTAAAAAGGGTGACTCAGAAGTAAGTCCTACTGATTTCAGTGGGGCTTACTTCCAACTGAGCATTTCTAAGAATAGGGCCTTGATTTGTTACTGCCTTTCTAAGATGATACAAGATGTCCCATGGACAATCGTATTGACATTTAAACGGCGATGGTGAGTCCTATGGTTCAGTGAAGCTTATTTCCAGGCAATTGTTTGTAGAATTGCAGCCTTCATATGTGTATGAATATTGGCTTGTGCATGTATTTGTGTGAAAGAGAGAACGCTTTTGAATGAGGAAGTATGATTGCATAAGCTGGTTGGATAGCTCAGTGAGTTTCCGGCTGCTGAGCCAGAGGCTGGAAATTCAGTTTCCCACTGTGCATCTCAGAAGGGCCAGCCTGTGTGGCCTTGGGCAAGCTGCACCGTCCCAGAATCCCTCCAGAAGAAGCATATTGCAAGTAACGTCTGAATGCTCTGTACCTAGAAAACCTTGAAAAGGGTCATCAGCACTTGCCAGCACACAGATATAAAGAAGTTCTGTACTGCAGAGCTTAGAGGTTTAGGCATCTGGCTGTAGAGCCAGAGGCTGGGAGTTCAATTCCTCCCTGGGCCTCCCTGACAGAGGCTGGATTCGATGATCCATAGGGTCCCTTCCAGCTCTGCAGTTCTAAGATGCTGATGCTACCTCTGTGTATGATGACAGTCAGGCTCTCCATGAGAGTCTGTTCAACACACCGGCTATACACGAGAAGGAGGCTCTTGTGAACATTGCTTCACGGTGGGAATGTGTATGTAAAATGTAGATGAATGTGTGTTTGTGAGGAGGGGAGAGCTGGGGAGCTGTCTTTCTTCACAGGAAATATTCATTCTTAACATCTAGTTTGCGCTCAGATACACCTGTTTCTGAGAAATACTGCGTAAAATACCTTTGCTTATAACAGGATACCAAAACATTGTGTGCCAGATATCTTCAGGGAAATACCTGTGGGGCAAGATACGTAAGCGGTGGTGTTTGTGCGCATGCGTATGCCAAATCCCAGAGGATGTGGGCATACACAGATGTTGGTGAAATGTTTTCAGTGATAATATGTAAAATACCTGTGTGTGCGTGAGGAAATCTGAGTAGCAGTTAACAAGAATCTCCCTGTGTACATGCATGTAAGGCAGAGAAACCATCTCTTGTGCATTTGTGTATACAGACTGTGTATCTATATGACCAAACCCACACGTAAAAAAGGAGAGTATGTTTGAAATGAGAGCATGAGAGCCTTTGCACATGTCAGCATGCATGCATGAAATGTTTTGTGCAGATCAATAGGAAATGGGACACACACACACACACCCCAATGTGATGAATGGCTTTTGTGCAGATCAATAGGAAATGGGACACCCCCCCCAATGTGATGAATGGATGGTTAGATCCAGAGCACCTGAGCCTTCTTCACACTTACTGTTCTCATCAGAATCATATCCATCCGCTGATTCTCCTTCTCCAGTTCCCGGGGAGGCATTCATTGCCCCTTGGCCCCTCATGCGATCTCTCGGTGACAAGACTCCTTCTAGTCCTGGATGTGGAAAATAAGCGGAGATTTGGGCAATGGGTCGGATTGGCCCTGGGGATACATCAATAGCCATGTGTTCCCGGATGGGGACTGGAGCACGATCTCCGCGGCGCACAGTCATTGGATGGGCAGTCAGCTATGGAAAGAAAACAACACATGTATTTTGACTCATTCTGTCTCCACTTTCCTGCAGGCTTAGTTCATTGACCCTTATTCCCATGTAAATATTTTATAGGATTATAGCCTTAATGAACCACATCCAACAGCTTGCTGCATGAGGTAAAGAACAAGATGCTATAGCCTTAATGAACCACATCCAACAGCTCGAAATATATTGCTGCATGAGGTAAAGAACAAGATGTCACCACTTTCTCTTCCGTGTTTAAAAGCCAAATCGGCTGGCAGTCAAAACTTCAGTATTGGCAGTGGGAAAGCCTTCTCCCATGCCAGCCCAGAGGGCAACAAGCTGGTCTGAGGGGAGGCACAGCAAGCTTCATGGCACACAGCTCTTTCAGCCAATACCTTGCTGCTCATGCTTAGCTTTCTGTGCCTTGGGCAACCACCTCACTCTGTCTAATGGTAGGACTGGCCCTGCAAAATTTATTTTCCTCTGGGGGAATCGGGAAACCTTTTAAGATATAGCCTGTGTTTTGGTTGTCTTTTTTTGATCTTTTGCCTTCTCAGTTTTCAAAAAAATAGACACCGGCTTTGCAGGAGATCATTAATACTAGAAATGACAAATACATTTCTACGCGAATACATTTTTTGGCCTATTTGGCCGTTTTTCTTGGTTTCTACCAGAAATTTCTGCTCATGCAGAACACCTTTCAGTGGACATTTTCTTTTCCTAAAATGAAACAACACGCCAAAAACCCTTTATGTGAAAAATATTGTCATTTCTGGCAGTAGACCCCAACCTCTAAACAGAGAGACATGTGCCTGAAAGCTCTGTCCTTGGGTTCATGCTTTATTGGAAGAGTACATTCTTCTTTGTACAAAGAACTTCTGACTTCAGTCCACCCTATGCCTCACATTGCCTATAAGTTACAGAAAACATGTTAGCAGGACACAAAAGACCATAAGCATCATCCAGTACCCGCAGCCCCTAGCAGATAATAGTGTTTGGTGGAATATTTATCACTGAATATTATAGTTCTATATCTCCACTATGATTACTAGTGGCTCATTTCCTAGCAAAAATGCTTCCGTTTGGGAGCCTAGCGAGCCTCTTCTAGGATAATTCATTGTCTCTTCCAGGTTCTAGCTGACTTTGTCCTTCTCCAGAATACTCCAATCCACATATACAGCCCAGCTTTCCTTCTCAAACTTACACTTCCTTTCCATTGTTATTGAGCCTGCTCAGTCGTCACTGGTCTGTTTCTAGAATGGTTTGCTACTTTTGTTTAATTAACTTTTTTTTTTCATTCTTGAATTTCTTTGGATTCCCATAGCATGCTAATGCATCTTTCTTGTTTATCACTGGCCCCATTTTGACTTCCGTCCTACCTGCATTTGCCATCTGAGTTCATTATTAAAGGTAATAATGAAATATGAGTAGGATCTCACCCGGTTTTCACAACCTACACAAGCCCTTGGCTACCAGTTACATCCTAATGGTGAATTCTATGCATTAATTACACATTACGTCAAAAAAATATTTTTCTTTGTCCTGAATCTATTGCCTAGCAAGGGGGTGTTTGGTGAACAGTGAAATTTCTTTACCTACCTTTATCCACACCATGCATACATTTATAGGTCTTTGTTACATTATTCAGCTCCTGACATTTTTTTTGGGTTCCTAAAAGAAAAGCCTCAAAATGATTTTGCCTTATTTTCTCTAGGGAAGGGACTCCAGTGTCATGATTTGGGTTTCATGCTTTGCAAAGCCACAATGAGTCCCAGAGTCCAAAGCTTTTTGTAGACACCCATATTCCTGACATACTTCAAGTGTTCACAAATCTGAGCATGGATCGGCTCTGACACCCATAAAAATTCATACCAATGATCATTTTTCTGACTCCTTTACTATTTGCAGTTATAGGGAAATGTCCTCTGTTTTTTCAAATTAGAATCTAATGGTTCAATTTTAAGGTGGGATTTCCCCTGAGTTTCCTGCTCCTCCTCCTTACTCTCATTGATCCCATACTTCCAGGGTTATCAATACAACCTGTAGAGGAAATGTGACTTCCTTCAGTCCATCATCTGGAAAAATGACTTTCTCATTCATTTGTTGCAGATCAAAAGTTGTGGTATACAGTATACTAAGCAAAAGCTGTCAAGAGATCCTTTCTTTCTAAAACACTGAAAGATCCATGGTGTTTAATACACCTTAATTGCTGTACATGCTTACCTGAGAGTAAGTGCCATAGAATTCAGTGGACTTGATTTCACAGTAAACATATAAAGAATTACACATTGACTCGACTAAGTAATAATAACACAATGTGTTAGCTATTAGTAACAAAGTAGTATTCAATGAAGCATTTAAAAAATCAATACAATCTTGTAATAGAATGCTGAAGAACCGAACAGTGAAATCCCCAATTTTAGACTTACAAGCAGAACATTTAGAATTCATTTCCTGTATGTACTGTCTTTTAAATTTAATTTTATTTTGTTTGGTTTGTTGGTTGGGGTGGCGTGAGCCAATTATAATTGTGCAAAGAATTTCTTTGCTGGAAACTTAATGGCATTTTGATAGGACAGTTTATTTAGAGACCAGCATCCTCAAGACAGCTATTTTTAATTAATTAGTATTAGATTATTAACCAATATTCATAGAATGTGTTTGCTAAATTGAGTTATCTCCCCAACCCCTTACTCTGAAATTGAGAGGGAGTTTTCCCTGTAGGTTTTATTTCCTTTCCTTAAAATGTTGTTTCAGTCAATTAATTCTCAGTTAATCAGTTTCCTTCCAGAACTGCCCCTTGATCTTAGATGTAGCCTTTCCCCATGTCCAACATCTAACCTATGCATATAAATACATACAAGTTAAGCTTCTATAATTTCCTGACACCTGCTTGATTTCCCACCCTAACTTCTCCCTTTAGAGATCCTACTGTACCTCTAAGGCACAGATCATCATTTGCTGTCCAGCAGCATCTGTAGCCCCCACTCATTCCAAGAAGCTACATCTTCCTCTTTTTACCCCATCTCTACTCCATCAGCCCCATACATTACAGTAACAGCTTCCAAAAACTCCTTTTTCACCCCCCCAACAGTCTCCCCCAAATTGCCACAGCCTTCTCAAACAGGCACGGACTGCTAAGCAACTCTTTCAAGTCCCCTTCTTCTTTGAAAACTCTGCCAGATAGCATGTTTATCTCCCCCTCTCTCCCCTAAACTTGTTCTCCACAAATGTTTACCCCTGTTTTCTGCCTCTGCAAAGTGCAGGGTGCATCCTTCATCTTCATCATTCTCATCCACCAAGGGACCCCAACCCTATCCCACCCCGTTCCCATCCTACCTGGATCCTGGTCCTGTCAACAGGTAATGATAGGGAGGAGGAGTATGGTGCAATGAATGAGAAGACAGTCGATTGGGGGATCCCACAGACTTTGAGAGATAGAGCAGGCGAGCAAGAAGGAGAGAGAGAGAGAGAGAGAGTGCAAGGGAGGGGGGGTTGCAGGCAGGGAGGTGGAGACAATAGAGAAAAGGAAAAGGGAGGTTCAGGGGGCAGAGATCTGATTTGCAATACTGTACATAGATCAGATTAGATGGCAGATACAGAATGGCACTGTAGCATCTGTGGGACAGAACCTAGGTGACTGCACATTTGTATACATGCTTAAGCTATAGAGAGGGAGGGAAAAGTGACCTGATGTTGCCAACTGATAATCAGCTATAAAGACTGAGGACAGATAAAATAGGTGTTGTGGGACATTCAAGGATTCTGCAATATCAGACAGTAAAAGGTTGGATTGGATTCATATAGTATAAGATTTAGCTCTCTGTACCAAAGGGAGAGGAAGACATTGTGCATTTTAACTGATCCTGCCCTATCTCTTGGGCTTGGGGTGGATGCTGTTGGTTGGTTTGTTTTTAAGGCAAAAAGAGAAAGAGAAATGGTGTTAAAATCCAGTTTAAAAATAGCCAGATATAGGAAAGGGAGATCTGATGTGGATTAGATCAGAGTAGGTGAGGTGCATATTTGTTTGTATGTGGGACTGTGAATGAATGGCGGGTGGGCATTTGGAATAGATGCGGAAGATGGGTGGGGGCACCTTTTGTAGATGAAAGGAAGGAAGGGCATGGAAGGCAGATATGGTGAGACTGGGGAATATATTCAGAACCAGCCAGAAAGGAAGGTGGGTGGGTGGGGGAAAACAACAAGGAGTTTTTTGGGGAGAACTGAATGAGTAGTCTTTGGATTAATTAACAGGAAAAGAGCTGTATACATATTTGTTGGGATCCAGCTTTCTATAGCAACATTTCCTTCTGTTCTACAAGCATTTCTGCCCCGAAGAGTATATATGGCTATTCTGTATGAAGAACAGGGCTCTATGGCCATGGGCATTTTCTTCTTTATTATTAATTTCATGTACGAGCAAGTCCTCAATCTGGAACTAGTCAGGGAAAAGGTAAAAGTAAAGGTTCCCCTTGACAATTTGTCCAGTCGTGTCCGACTCTAGGCGGTGGTGCTCATCTCCGTTTCCAACCCATAGAGCTAGCGTTTGTCCACAGACAATCCTCCGTGGTCACGTGGCCAGCATGACTAGACACGGAACGCCGTTTACCTTCCCACCAAGGTGGTACTTATTTATCTACTCGCATTTTTGCATTTTGCATGCTTTCGAACTACTAGGTTGGCAGGAGCTGGGACAAGCGACGGGGGGCTCACTCCATTGCGTGGATTTGACCTTACAACTGCAGATCTTCTGACCTTGCAGCACAGAGGCTTCAGGGGTAAATGACCAGGGTAGGAACTGTGGCCTTGAAAATTAGGATATTAGCCTTGAACCCCAGAGAAAGAGGAAGGAGTAAAGGTGCTGGGAGAACGGGACAGCTCCATGATTGATTTCAGGTACTGTATAAAGGAGGGGAATTAATTGACTCCTACCACCAAGGAAGTGTTTATGTATAAGCCTCTTATGTGGATTCTCAAGTGGGATTTTTTTAAAAAATGTCACTTTTACTCATCCCGCCATCTCAGTCAACAAGTTCTCCCATATACTCTTAGGATAGGGTTCTTGATCCTGTCACAAGTAGGCCTTATTTTCTACTTTGCTCACAGTCCCATCTTCCCTTTATTGCAAGGTACCTCTTGAGGTTCAAGCCCCAGCCCCTGAGAGCAGTTGAAATGTTTGAAGTTGTGTGGCAACAACATATCCGTTGAGTTTGGGGAATTGAAGTTTTTTCTGCTTTCCTTCCTCTCTTTCCCCCCATCTGTTACTATGGCAACTCTGTCCTGGACCGACTCCAGGCCAGGAAATATTTGTAATGCTGCATATGCTGTTGAATGACATTTTAAGTGTTAGTCAAATAGATAAACCTGGTTTTGGACCAGGCAGGGGGCCCAGGAGCCAAGAAATCCCAAATTCAGTGGGAACCAGGGCTCTGTTCCAAGTCACTAGTTGCCATGTGCTTTCTGGGCCCAATTCAAGGTGTTGGTTTTAAGCTTTTAAGCCTCCAAGAAAAGAACCCTTGTCTCATTATGAACTTCTCTGGAATGGATGCTAAGATCTTGAGCTGCTGAGAGCAATACCACCTGCGGAGGCCTGCTTGACAGGCACATGGTGGGAAGGTTTTCTTCTTTGTTATTCCCACTGTTGCAGGAAGCACTCTCCTCAGTGTTGCAATCAGTTCCCACTCTCCTCACTTTCAGGAAGAGCGTGAAGAGACCCCTTTTCACTCTGGCCTTTGAAAAAATATTATTTCTTTTCAAGAACAAGTGTGATGATTTTACTTGTCTAATTTTTTTTTTACTTGCCTGCCTATCTGTCTCTCTGACCACAGTTTCTCCATGAAAAAGGAGAAGAGAAAGAAAGGGGGAAAATGATCAGTTCCCACTCTCCTCACTTTCAGGAAGAGCGTGAAGAGACCCCTTTTCACTCTGGCCTTTGAAAAAATATTATTTCTTTTCAAGAACAAGTGTGATGATTTTACTTGTCTAATTTTTTTTTTACTTGCCTGCCTATCTGTCTCTCTGACCACAGTTTCTCCATGAAAAAGGAGAAGAGAAAGAAAGGGGGAAAAATGGACGAACGAATGAACGAATGAATAAAGAAATAAATAAATTGAAATATGTGGAATTAGGAATGAACTAAAATGGGTGCACATAGTGCCTTTCCCCCTCAGCATAAAGCATTACACACACAGGGAGAGAGAGAGAGAGAGAGAGAGACCAAGGACTCCTGTTTGTTTTTTTCTTGGAGGGACAGAGATTCCTTGTAGATCTGTTTATGTATGAGCATTCTGAACCTCATTAGAACATCAAAAACCCAACACCCGTTTTGTCTAGGGCTGCAAGCTCTAATCAGGTAAGCTGGGCAATTAATCATCTGGAACTTCTTATCACAGATTTTTTTTAAACATAGCAATTAATCAGAACAAGTAACATAGGGACTAAACTTCTGTGCTTTAAAAACTTCCTATGTTTCGGCAAAGTGAAATAAAGCACAAGTATATGGTGGAAATGTTCCTTTCTGCCTCTTTTTTCATTGTCTTTTAATATTTTTTTTCATTAGAGCTCCCAAAAATGGGAGTTGTAGTCCAAAAAAGTAATGTTTCCAAGCTCTGAGCAGAGGTGAAGAAAATTCTAGATGTCTTGCAGCCACATCTGTGCCTTTGCAGTAGGTGTTGAGCACTGCTGAAAGCATAGACGGGCACTCCACATGTCTCTTCATTCTGCTAGAGTTTAAATAGCAAAGCTGAGAACTTCCATCTGGTTGAGAAAAGAAGGTGGTAATGTCAGCTTTTGTTGTCTCCCGGACTTGCTAGTTATATCTGTAACCCAAGGGAAATTGGCATGTTACCTGCCTTCACAAATCTGTCAAGAATAATAGAGATGGTTTTCTGTCCTCTGAAAGTGAGTGGCAGTATTTTGTTTTTGTTTTGTTTTGTGTTTAAATATGAAGTCATATCCTTAAACTGTCATATTGATGCAGGATGCTCCTTTAGTGAGATGCTGCCATATATAAATGTATGGCTGCTTCTGCAGTCTGACGCATTGATCCTTCAGTAGATTGAATCAGCAAAAAAGCGTTCATTTCATTACCTAGAAGGCCCTTCATGCAAAGCAAGGAGCATATTATTTTATTACAAACAAGGGTGGATAATGCTTTTATTAGATCATTAAAAATTGAAAAAGAGGCAAACGTTCCAGTTATGCAGGGCTCTGCTTCAGGCTGGGCATTTCAGAAACGAGGGTGGCTGAAGCCGGATGTGAAAGTTTCAGGAGCTGTAGTTAAAGTCAAGCCTGAAGATAAAGAAACCAGATGGAGATGTTTGTGGAGTCTATTACTGTACTAGTTACCGAGTGAATTTGCCATTGCTTTTTTCAAAGGGCCTGGCTTCTGTTTTGGTTGGAAAGAGAAGCACCATCTCAAATCAGAAAAGCTGGAGGCAGTGGCAGCTGGTTCCTGTTGGGATCAGTGGACACAGCAGGTGATAAGAGACCATGGTGCTACATCCTTCTTCCTTCTCACTTGCACAGATTGCAAACCTGGAAGTTTAACAAGAGAGGGACATAGATGGGCCGTGAACTTCCCTGCTCTGTTAGGGAGACAACCAGCCAGGAGAGGAATAACTAAGTGTAGCCTGAAGCTGTAGTGGGGGCAGTATCCCTTTGTTTGAATGGTGGACTACCCTGCTACTGCCTAGAGATAAAATTTAGTGGCATACAAGGCAAACAACAATAACAACAAAAAAAACACTTAGTTCGAGCCAGATTCAGGTTATTATAAATCGAAAAGAGAGAATTCTCAGTGCAGCGCTTTCTTTTTCAGGTAACTGTAAGTCTCCTTGCTCTGATTGTAAATCTTTCCTGGGGTGGCTATTCAAGGTATTTTCTAGACAGATAAAAAGAAGAAAAAAAATTTTGTGGTCTTTGTGCAGGATCCAAATCCAGTGATAAGTAATACCTTTATCAGACCTGCAGAAACTTTGAGGTCTCGCTGGGGTTTTGCTTTAGAGTAACAAAATGAAATACTGTACTTCTTCAGAGAACAATTCATCAGCCTCTGGAACTCACTTCCACAAGATGTAGCGATGCTTGTCAATTTGGAAGGCTCTAGAAAAGAACTAGCCGAATTTGTGGCAGATGAGGATATCAGTGGCTATTATTGTCTCTAGGATCATGGAGGGTACAGTTCTTGGTATAAACTGCTGGGGAACATGAGTGAGACGGTGCTGTTGTACTCATTGCCTCTTTGGAGGCTTCCCATAGGTGCCTGGCTGGGCACTGTGACAAACAGATTGCTGGATTAGAAGGGCCTTTGATCTGACCCAGGATAGTCCTTTTTTATCTTCATTGTGGTGTTTTTATATTGCATTGTTTCCTTTTCTTTCTGAGGTGAATGTAAAACACGCATTGGTCGGCATTTACATTTGATGCACCTTCTTTCATCTTCCACTCCCATGAATCACATTTCCACAGGTGCATATCTAG